TGATATTTAACGAGATATGAATCTAATTCATAGTGATATACAAGTATTAACGTCAATATTTGTAATTATAATAAATTTCACAAAGTTAAAATGAAAGCTGTTACGTCATCAAGCGAAATGTAATTACATTTTGTGTTGATGAAGATAATGACACAACATACATCAAAGGTTTCAGCACAATTGCTCCATTTACAGTACAACTACGACACTATGGTTATTTTATTAGTACGGTAGATGAACATTTCTGTTGAAGGTGTAATTGAATTATTTTAATTTATATAAAAATAATATTTATTCATATTTAAATCGTACAAATTTGCTATTAGTTAACCACAATGATATGTTTTAAATTTACTTTCATACCTTTTTACGAAATACTTTTTTTTACTTTAATACTTTTCTTTGAAATGGCGACCATACAAAGTAGGTATTTTAAGCCAAGAATGAATGGAGATGAGTGTAGGATGAGTGGCGCGATCTTGTAGTCTTGTTAGTGACTAAGGCCGACATATTCCTTAGACACAGCTGTTAATAATTAGCCCATACAGCTAATGGCGACTAAGGGACCTACAGTTTATAGTGGAATCCGAACCACTTTTTTCCTTGGTATATACGAATTGGTCTAATTATCAGGATAGTACTGTGGATAGTCGTAGTACTCACCCGTGCGGACGTTAATCCACACCAGGGAGTATCGCATCCACAGTGCATGCCTATAAATATCCACAATTCGTGACCTGCTAGTAGCTGGATTACAGGACGACGCCACCAGTCCCAGTCTAATAAAGTAAAAAATCCACCAAAGAAGACACTAGTTAGAAATCCGTTTATTTCTTCTTTGTAATATATTTTTTAAACTAAGTTGGGAGAATGATTTTGATAATATTTGTAAACAATGTCTAGGATGTCTATTTCAACGTTGCAGCTTGTGTAAGAGATGACTAAGGTTGACCTATTTTGCTTTATTAAATTCTTATATCCATTGTGGATTCGTGAAGTTTTGTTTGTGAGGTCACGCTGCTTTGAATGACATTTTTCTAATTCAAACGAATACATCTCAGGAGCTGTGTGTAGCAAGTGTAAAACACAAAACTGTAAACGATATTTTTTAACACACTTACACTAGTTCATATTTAGTTTATAGTAATCATTATGTAAAATACGTCGCCATCGTAAGCAATGGTATTTGCTGAAACTTAACAAAAGTACTTAATTTTACACGATAATTTATTTATTTTTGACATCTAGTTGTGTTACATTAATAGTTTGACAATATTTACAAAACATAGAAATATTTCTATTTGTTTGCTGTCCCACAGACATACTTCCCAAAAATTGCCTCATAATTTGATCCATGCAACTCTTCCACTCCGTACGTTTCTTAAGGTCGAATTTTAGTTTATATGGAAAGTAAATTTTAGGTGAGAGAAAGATGACGAAATATAATATTTACAAAATTAATGATTTTCGTATTTTCTATTATTATTTTAATACATATGAAAGTTAACGTGATTGAAGTGTCACCACACAACTTTGATATATAACTAATTCAATGTATAAAAAGCCTGAATCATTCCAATAAATATGTTATTTAAAAGTGGAATTTGGATACTTAACAAAATTGAAGTTTAGAAAATTTAGTATTCTTTTATTAATAATAATAACTTTACAGTGTAAAATACATAAACTACTCTAGAATTAACGGTAAACATCGTACAACTAAATACAGTATTTTCAATTCACTACAGTCTTAACTGATATTCAATACAATTCATTATAAAAACTAATTCAAACGTCCAACGATCATTGTTCTGTTAAAAATTACAACTACAACATAGTTATGCTGTTAATTATGAATTGTGTTACCTTGAATGCAGTTATATTAAGATATTGTGAAATAGCCACCAGACTGACTCTTTAAACATGTTTCTATCTCCAACAAGATGTTGTATCCGTTCCATAGCATTCCCATTACAATTTTCATTGGTAATTCATCCATACAACTGATATGCTTAATAGACCAACAATGAAAAGGTACTCTTGTAATTTAAGGTACTTATTTGGCTAAAACTATTGATCATATATTGTTTCCTTCTAAGATTAGTAATTATTAAAGAGAAAATCTTAACTATGTAAGTTCAAGTTAAACATTTTATTTCGCACTATTCTGATGATTTTTACAGCTGTTTTCTGAGCCTAAGCTTACAGGATGAACGTTAGAATTTTAGAAACATGGAGCTGTTTTCAGCTTCGGATAGTGTAATGAGTTACTGAAAATACTACCCACTTTACATTGTGAAATTTTAACCCTTAAGAATGAAGGATCAACTTTTGATACCGAAGTAGACATCCCATTAACAGACTATAGCTAGTTCATTGCCAAATAACAAAATATGAATGAGTGTATTAACAAAGTGCGCGGTTTAAAAAATAATATATTTTCCCTTAGTTTAAGTAACTAAGGTAGTTAATAAAATACGATGATACTAATAGTTAAATATAATTGGTACTTTCAGTTTGACTTGGTTAAATAATTGTCCGTTGGCCAGGTTTACAGCTTTACTGTTGTAATAGGATAATTTCTTTTTGTTCAATAACGACTCACTCCCACCCACGGGTTTTCCCATGTGGGTTTCATTTAGTTTATTTATATTTTAGCAATTGCAGTATATATTGTATATTTAATATTTGTAAAAATGCTTGTAAGTAACGTAACAATGTTTATTTGATGAGAAATAAAATAAAATTTGATTTTGATTTGAGGATGTCTACTTAATAGTCAAAGAATTACAGGTTTTGTAGATGCACATGTAAACAAAACCCATGAACTGGTTTCAAAAAATGTTTAACATATTTATACAAAATTAAAACATATTAGGCTACCTGGCTTTAAATTACGTAAATTTTAGCAAAGATTTTAAAATCCTAAATATATTTGTTTAATTCTTACGAATGTCGAACTCATATTTTGTAGCACGTTTTACTGATTTATATGAGAGAATTGATTATTATAATAGTCACCAGCAAAGAAACTAAACCACTTATATTGTATTTAATTATTAACTTTAGTAAGATAAAAACCTCAGACCGTTACACAACGACACACAGACATCACTATTTACATAAGTTGGTGTGTTGGTCCTTCAATATTTTCAATATTTTAGAAAATACCTAAAATTTACTGTAACCTAAATTTTAGAATTATAAATTAAAAAATAATTTTTACATACAATTGCGATTAAAACATTGTGCATTCCTAATTAGAATTCACATCAAAATAGTTTCGTTGTTAGCTAGAGTAATACATGACTTGTAACCATATACAAATGTTTACATATAAAAATATATTGAACTAATTTTATGATATCACTTTGATTATGTTTAATAAAGTATTACTATGTATACTTTTAGGAGAGTAGCCCAAAACAAGTGAATACAAAACAGGTGTACACACATTCCGTGTGTTATAATACTAAAAATAGCTTTTTTTGACATTAGTTTGTTATCAGATTTTGCTATAAGCATTGAAATAAACAAACAATTGATAAAGTCGAATAATTCCTTAAACAACAAAACTATACCTCTTCATTTGAAAAACAAGGCTAGACCAGAAATGAAGTAAAGATAAACCATTAGTAAGTCTACCAAAAACATATTTTCGTTAAAAATACATTTACCATAAAATACGATTTCTTCAAACAAATAATGATTCAATAAGTGTCATGAAAATAATTATTTAATTATCGTACACATTGTTTAGATTTTAATGTATGTTACTATGAATACAGTAAATACTTGACATCAAAAATTACAAAATATGTAGACTACACTACTTAATATGAACGATACAGACACATAATTTAACGGTAATATAGTTTGTACAAAAATATCCTTTTTAATTAAAACTGTACGTGCAACACCTTTTCTACATTACAATTAACATAAACTCGACAACAGAGTACAAAATTACATTTACATGAACCTTCTAATTACATTTATATTACTATTGATCATTACTTATGTAACCTCCCATATGTGGAATTGTGCCTTTGTTCCGTGTAATAATTAAGAGCCAGCGCATAGAACCATATAAAGCTTTTATTGAAACACAACTACTGACAGAATATTAGGAAATTCTCAGTAAAGGTTTTAAGAAAATTAAAACTTTTTAACTAGAAAATGTTATTAAACTCTGCTAAACGTAAAGCGGCAATTATTGTCAGTATTATTCCGTTATCCTTTTATTTAGGGATATATTTTGGCATAATTGACTAATTATTTAAAGTAGTGTGAACGTTGATATTTTATTTGGCACAGTTTATATCATATGCAGATCACCACTCAATCACATTCCCTAATTACATAAACAAAATCTTTTAAGCTTCTTAACATAACTATTGTTTTACAGTAAGTTAAAACATCCAATAATCAGTTATTTAAGGCAATAGCTATTTAGAGTTATAGATCCAAAGCGGAGTTATTGGTGTGAACATTTGTTATGGTAGGCCAATCCTACTTGTCCCTTTAGAATATAAGTCAAACGATGAAGGGCCAGACCGATCCAGCAAACTTGAAATTGGTGAAACATTTCAAATACAATCCCCGAGAGAAGAATAGTTCACATTTAGAAAAATGAGCAAAAGTGGTGCAGATTTAGAAATAGGGTTTGAAGTGTTAATATTAAACAAGAATAACATGATGTATAAAACACTATGAATTTTACCTCCACTAATTTAAACAAAGAAATTTCGTTTGGTACGAATAGAGCAATTAAACTCACATTTTTGTATATAAGTGTAAGAATCTTTCCATAGTAGCTCATACAATTTCTTGAGTATGTTGTATCTACAATTTTTGTTTACAAGCCTAACCAAGAAATATACTTGAGATAGAACGTACCAAGAAACGTACTGGTTCTGTTAAGAACCATCTGTGAAGATTTCAGTTTTCGAGTAAAAGGGCGTCAACAGACTTAGTACTTTTCCTTCTTATTCTCTTTTAATGTTGCTGTATTTATATTTTTACACTTTTAATTTAATAGATTTTTTGCTCTCTCAAATTCAATGTTCAGAACAAATACTCTGCACCATAAATCTATGAAACGTAATTTTGTATACCATAAATTTTACCCAGCGAGAATAGAGTTTTACACATTTATAAGATTATTTATTTCATCCAAGCTAACCACCACGTTTGATGACTCGATCAAACTTTCGAATTTACTTATCATACCTTTTATAACTTCCTTACTCAAAACGAGCAAACAATTCCCTATCCCTGATCAATTTTTCATTAAGTCGGAACTATCTTCAAACTTACCCTCAGTAGCTGCATCTGGAGCGCATTAATGAAACGTCAGCATCTTTCAAAGACCTTTCTCTCATTTTACTCTCCATTACAAATAACTCCAATCAAAGACTTGTCACGTGACTAAATCTCTCGAGTTTTCACTCCGGGAGTGAGTCGATCCGGCCCGTGGACTTTCAGACGTTGCTGATCCTCAACATGCTGGAGGACGGCCGCCTCTCCGCCGTCACCTGGGCGATCACATTGTTGAAGCTCGGCCTCCTCTGCTCCCTTTGGGAATAAAAGTCACCCGAGGTGGAGGTCCGCCGATCGAAGGAGTGCATTGGACTGAGAAACTCGTTGCAGTACGTGTGTCTATCTTTGCTCCCTGGCAGGAACTCCGAGCAGGACGACGGGCGACGCTCACATGATGGTCGTGGGGAAAGGAGACAGGAGGATCTTCGCATACCCAGGGTTGTGGTCGAGGGTCGTCTCTCCGTCATCGGCAGCATAGACTTGCTCATTGGCGGTCGCTCGTTGAGCACCAGAGATTTTATGTCTACGGCTGACTTGGTTTTTCTGCAATGAATAGAGGTTAATTATAGTAATACATTGATTTTTCAATCTTTATAATCTTCCTAACTGTTCGTAAAGAAAAAGTAAAAAATCGTTGGAGTAAGAAGGGTATTTATTTAAATATGTTGTTGAAAATGTGTACTACGGTATTACTAACTTAGGTATTCAAATATTAAATACATATATGGAAATGTTTTCTTCCTTTCATTTCTATGATCAAATCCTTCTCTGGCCTTTCACACACAACCAAACTTGTAATTTGCAATTAGCTCTCGAACACATGGAGCCTTACAATACTTTTCCTGGTCCTAAGATAATACTTCAATCAAATCATTTTCCCAATATCAAAGTAATACTGTTGGTTAAATAATATTCTTAATCTAAATATGATAGTACTAAGTCATATAATTTCTTCAAACTTATAACGTTACTTTGGTCAACTATGTTCACCCAATGTTATGGTAATGTTGCGATCAAATACTTTTCAAATCTAAAAATATTAATTTGAACAAATAGTATTGCCAAACTTCAAAATAGTACTTTTCCCAAGTAGTTTCCCCAATCGTATGATGGTTGTTTAGTTTTACTAATCTGAAGACAAATAAATAATACATTTATCACAAAATTTTTTAAATCTTGAGATAATACTTTGTCCATATAGATTCTACAATCATATTAAAAAGTTTCTTAACCATAAGGTTTTACATTATTCAATGTCAATATCAAGATGCGTTAATCAAATAATTAAAATTATCAAAAATTCTTAGTTGTTGGTCATTTTGTCTATATTTTCGTCATTTTTTTATTGTTTAAGAAATCCCCAAGCTCCGGCGTACCTAGGAGGGTTGATCTGGACGGCGAACATGTTGTTGGAGCTTCCGACGAACACGGAGTTCTGCCTGGGCCTCGCCAGGGAGCGGTACGTGGGTGGGACAGCAGCGAAGTGTGGCGGGGGCTCTAGACAATTGACGTTGAACTTGGAGAAAGACGACCGATGCTGAAACATAGGATTGTAGGGTTGATCATCAGATAGTGAAACAGAGTATAAAGATATACTTGTGAATTTTGTGAAGCATTTAGGCCTACTTAATGAATGAAAGCCTAACGCTTATCCTATATGCAGCTTAAGCTGCTGTTTTGTAAAAAAGTATTTTTTTTCGTGCATGATCAAATAAAATGTAAAAAGAATCTACTGTTTGGTGATCTAATCATCAAAAAGTAATAATGTAAAACCTATTGGTAACACTCTATGATCAATAAAACATCGATTGTGAACTATTACTAATTACATTTTAGTGTTTGAGAAAGGTAAATTCTCGACTTTAAAAATTAAATCTGAGTTACATTGAGAGAAACTTTTATAAGGGCAGATTTCATTAAAATTTCTATAAAACAATTTGCGTTCAAAAGGGTTTAATTTGGTTTATATTATTATAGGCCGTTGTACAAATCAAAAAGTTTTAGTATATATTTTTTTACAATTTACAACCAATAATTCATATTTTGTTGGATTATTATTCACTATGATTTTTCTTTCTCTTTCCCAATACCATTGACTTTATATCCACACCCTATACCCACTAAGGGAATGTAGACACCTTTTTCATTGTCTAACATGTGTAATTTTATTAGACACTATCATATAACATGAACATTATGTGTGTGTGTGTTTTTTTTTTTTTTTTTTATTAGCGTAAATACTACTAAACTTATTGAGCTGAAATCCCCCAAAAATATTGCTACTATAGAAGCGTCATTAACTTATTACAGTTTAAAAGTATTTTACTTTGAATGTATAGTATGTATAGTATTATTTATAATGTATAATATATGTGTTTGTATGTTACTACTGTTCCACTGACCACAAGATTCAGAGATGGAGCTTGAGAAGGCAAGCAAGAAACTAAACTGAATAGTAAAAATTATATTAGGTTATTTTCATTTAGGAAGTAATCAATTCATAGTAAATAGTAATATAAATACAAATTGTTGTTGTCGGCTGACTCTTATAACATGATACACAAAGATCATACACAAAGATAGTAATGCCAATTCAACAGGTAGCAAATCCAAGAGCGGATTCAAAGGATTCCTCTTGATCTATTTATAGAAGGGAGTCTCTTTGAATGTATCTAATTAATTTACCACCTATATCCCTGAGCCCGCGTTTCTCAATTCGGAAAGGTATTGAGTGTTTGGATGAGTTAAAAATAAATTAAAAATGCAATTAAAACGATAAAAACATATTGTAGCGGTTAAATATAAGAGTAATAACTGAGAACCCTAACCTCACGTTTAGATGCTTTTATTGTAAGATAAAATAACCGGTTACAGTAGTTATTTTTAGATCTAAAAGTAAAAGCCGATAGATTATTAAACTAACTAGTAACTTAACTGATCTTTCTTATTTTTTCGAAAATTACCAGCACAATTTGCCAGCGGCTTAAATGACTTAGGTAATTTTTTAATGCCGCCACAATTTTAACATGACAATGGTATACATCATAATATTTAAGAGTAAAACCTAGTAAAAACCTAGAAGTATCAGTAGGTACCATCGAATGTTTGGAAAGTAAAAATGCTTTGAAATCTAACTCTAATTACTTATAATTAAAAATAAATAAAGGAATTTTCATATTATGTGATAATTAAAGCCTCGATTACCTGTTAAATTGATTGTAACCCTTAAATGTACTGGTAAGACAAATGCAACTGCGGAAATCATAAAAACTCATCACATCACTGAAACCAAATTGAAGCTATGCGACCTATTTATGTCATCTTGCACTAAAGTAAAAGATTTCTAATTGTATGACACGCATATCACTACGCCTTAAGATCTAGCTAAGTCTCTAAATGTAAATGCTAAATAGGTAAATGGAATTTGAATTGTTTGGATCCAAAACAGAGGTAATACATTGATTTATTTTGAAGACATATTATACCTTTTTAAAAGTCAACTTACAATCGTGATAGCCAAGATAGTATTTTGGCAAATACTGTAGTTTAAAAAAAATAAATACTATCGTAAGTGTTGAATACAGCTAACAGGAAAGTTGAAATCGTAGATTTATTTTACGATTGTGAAATATTGGTGAAAACCAACACAAGTTGTACGATTCCTTATTTATTTCAAACGGATATAAAATTGGAAACCTGTATTTGAATTCAAACCATATCTGTAAATGTTAATAGTGCTCAAACAGCGAAGAGTATTGAAACACATCATTAATGTGTTTACTTCGAAGAAAGAGTTGTATGTTTTCTTGCTTAATTCATATAAATCCTATATGAAGTATAGGTAAAAGTACTAAAAGTATTTTATAGCTAAAAGTAAATAGCTAAAAGTATTTTATACTAAAACTACCTTGCATGATCAAAATCTAAAGCATAATAAATCGAGTGTAAACTATGCTACTTAAAACACATTTGAAAGTAGAACTAATCTAGGGAAAATGATAATTGACCTATGAATATTTGAAAACAAAAAGTCATGTGCTAATCGAAACTTATCCTTTACGTTGGGACTGAAAATCGCTCAGATAGCCGTGGCCTGTAACCAGATATCTACAGTCACTAAATGTGCCCAAGCGACTAGAGTGAGTGGATTTATTGTATAAAGGCTTAAAGTAATTTGCATATTCGACTCTCATGATGTGGAAAAACATAGCATACATAAATATAAGATGATGAGGCATTTAATAAAACTGCAAATTACGATAGTGTTTCGCCAAACATATTTGTCTTGCAATCAAATTCCTGATTTCATACTTAACACGAAATACATAGTGAAATACATAGCCTAATTAATTGTTCAATATCAATTGATTAGAATAATGTAGAGCTTAAAAAAATTTACACTTACACTAATTGCCTTTTAAATGTATTTAACATGATAAATCGCTAATAAATAACTTTTGTTTTTGCACAGCATTGGGAAGTAGTGTATAATGTGTTTTAAAGCTGAATTATATATCCGTTCATATCACTACTGCAGACCTGGGATATCGGCGGATGGTTGATGTCCACCATGGGACAGCTGCTGCGATGCTCTTGGTGGAACTTTGGCTGGTAGGGCTCCAGCATGCGGATCTTTCCCCACCTGTTGAAAAACAGTGCTATCGCTGCGACCCACAGAATCAGCACGAAGATGACGATCAGTGCCTCTTCTGTTCTAACCACTGGAACACCTGTAAAATCCTCTAATTAGAAGGCTGTGGAAGGTTAAATATATTTTTGACAGTAAATAATATGCTTATTTGACCTGTTTCACGTCTCACTAAAATTAGTAGGAATTTAGAAAGATAAAACTCAAGTAGTTTTGGTTTTAAAAATTAATTTTGAGAATTTCAGGAATAGAATCGGATTCTTTTGAACCCAAGTTTAGTGCAATAACCAATTGTTGAGTACTCAACATCGGTTTTTCATCTTTGCGTCTAAATATGCACCGTGATTTGTTTTGATTTATACGGTTACTAGACACGAGGTTCCAAGGTTAAGTTGTGTGTTAAATTAAAATCTTTGTTATATCAGAGCAATTAGGAATTTAATCAGCTAACTCTATAAGTCAGGACAGCTTATTGAAAGCATATTGATCAAGAACGATTAGGTCTAGTTTGAACCAACAAAACTACTGGATTTTCTCCGGACTGGTCTAGTGACATTCTGTCGGTCTTTGTATGAATGTGGGGTGGCAGGGCCTTTGTATGACCTATCCTCGTATGGCGTTGACTCCTTTTACAGTCACGGCTTCTGGACACGTATTCAGGCCTTAGGCCAAGCAGCTGAGCTGCCTTTCAACAGTTGGCTGTAGTTGTTGTGATGATTTAGTCTGGTATCTAGAGTTAGTGACACATAACTGTAATCTACTACTGTACAGGGTTTATATGCTATGCAGAGCACAGACTAACCAGTGGCGACGGCCGAGTCAGGGAAGGGGGGTATCGAGTGCACCTTGGTGGCAGGCGTCTCGTAGATGATCTCCGAGATGTACTCTATGCTGGCTGGAATGTCCGAGCCTGAGGCGCTCAGAGAAGAGTTCCTCATCATCTTGCGGTACAGTTCTGGAACAAAAGGAAGCGATCAAAATAAACTTGTAATTATACCATCTAATTTAGTGGATATTGAGTCTTCCTTTGAGTATTCAAACAAGAAACAAGTTGGAAGTTCTAGTTGAGAATCACCAACGTGCAACATACTGTGTGGAGGAGACACCCGCCAAAGGTTAGGTATTATAGTTTTTAGTATTATTATAAGTTTACTCTGAAGTGAAATGGTTACGAATGTTCATTATTATTCATTATTCAATCCAACGCATACATATTTATACATGTTTGAATGGTTTTAATAAATGAATCTAGCATCAGTAATAGTAATACTAATTGTAATACAATAAGCTCGCCTTCAAATCTGAAGGTCACTGGTTTGCATAAAACTGATATCGTAACTAGAACTGGGTATAATTTTGTCTTTGGGCTCTCAATCAATGATGGTAATAAACTAGATTAAATTCTGTGTCTTTCTAAAAGCCATAAAAAGTGCCAAACGCATAAACATGCACACAAAACAAGCACAGATAAGTAGTTATTAATACATTCTTTTGGAAATAATGATTTTAAATAATGTATTATTTTTAGTTAAGAAACTTAACTGGACAAAACTCTCCTATTGTGGTAAAAGATCCCAACTATGATTCTTTCTCTGATCAAAGCGTTCACACATTATTGATAAGTAAAACATATAATATCTCGTCTTTTGCTACCTTTTTGTCACCTTTTTTACCTTTTTAAATATGCATATGAGTTTTTACGTTTAAATGCATTTTTCAAAAGGGTTCAGAAACAAGCTGTACATTATTATTAAGCTGTACCCTTTATTACTTTAGTGTTACCTGTTTAATGATTTAATCAACACTGACATCCGGTAAAATAGCAATGTAATGAAATGCTTAACATTTTTTTAAATTTCAAATATCACATTCATAATTTAGATTAACCATACACTTTATGTCAGAATGCAAATATACTAGTAAATAGCAGCAAAGCTTTGGTCTTTATGCATAGAAGGTAAAAGCACGCTTCGCATTGTTACCTCAGGGATTTCTCACAATAGCTTTGTATTACAACGAAATGAGTTTCCCCGCAGAGTAAATTGCTTGAATGAGTTACGAGCAGTAACGTTTCATTTAAATTGTTGAAAAATCACGTTTCTGAATTAATTGGACATTTTATTTTTACTGTGGCCCTTTCGATGGATATACTAGGATCTTAACAAACAATCAGAGGTTTATTTTACAGCGTTTTATGTTTTAAAAACAATTTTAAAAACCATACTAAAATTTTATTTCTGTGGTTGAATTTATATAGTTTTTTATGTTTAAGGCTACTAATGTCGTTTATGAAATTCATCAACAACTCACAGAACACATGTGAATCAATCATAATTACTGTTAATAGTGTAAGTAATTGAAATTTATCTGTAAGATCAAATAATACTACCTATTAATAGTAACTGTTTACCTCACACTTGACGCTTGATCAGTTAAATATTACTAAAACACTAAACATTACAGGTTAAGGTATTTCATATTTTGACGCAATATTTTACAACAAAAAAACATCATTTTTGTTGGAGTATTTAAATTGGAATCGTTCAGATTTCTTATAATGCTTGAATTATTGAACTAATTTACCATACTGTATTCGTGTAACAGTACCAACAGGTCATATTAATGTTACTCAAGAAGTTATTTATAGGCCTAAATAACACCACTGTCGATTCTCGACAAGGTCAAACCCTATCAAAACTTACTTGGAAATTGGCTGTGGTTGGATGTCACCACCGCGTGTCAAACTGATTTGGATGGATTGGCGAATTGTGCTTGATGGTTCGGAATAATGGAACATCTCCTCAAATTGATTATACAAAACCACAGTTAAGCTCGATATTTTTATTTATACACGTTTATTCATTTATGTGGTTTTGTGATCAATAACTGTTCAACAGACTAATTGAATTCTACAAAGTTCATGTAAATAATTTACCATGTTAAATATCCTACTTTAAATTTGGTATGTACATTATATATTGTAAGACTAGATTACTTACGTCAATAGCTCATTGAATCGTGAATTTCACTTCATGTTTCAGTACATGTTTCGACACATTGTCATCATCAGCTGACTACTAACTAGTAAGTTAGTACTCAGCTGATGATGACAGTGTGTCGAAACATGTACTGAAACATGAAGTGAAATTTACGATTCAATGAGCTATTGACGTAAGTAATCTAGTCTTACAATAATATCTACAGCTCAGGGGATTAACAATGAATTTACATTATATAATTTATTGAATAAACGTTTTGGTTCCATTGCTAACCAAATATTTTCGTGTTTATTTAATACTAGATTTATTTAAATCTTTAAGGCACATGCTATACATATTTAGAAGATTTATTTCAAAGCCATTGCGGTTATACATACAAGCTATTATGCAATTCAAATAATTTATCATTTATGTTATTTAAACTACACGAAGCCTTCTTCGCCGGAGACTCAAGTTCAAATCCATCAATTGCCAATAGTTTACATACGTGATGATCACCAATGGTTCGGAACCCACTTTAAGTCTTAACTACAGCTAATGAGAAGTCCAAAAGTATTTTTCACAGGCAGTGATGTCAATCTCCGTAATGATAAATTTCCCACACTTTAAACAACTAATTGATCATTAAAATAAAAATACGATTAAGACCTCTTATATTGTAAAATGTATATGGATTGCAGTTTGATATTTTGATTTATGGATGTTCAGAGGGAAGTTTAATAATCCATCGAGAGGAATAAATCTCCAAGTGATATTTGAATGCGTTGCATATGCAAATATCCAGATACTGGAATCAGGTCATATTGCATTATCGAGGAGGCAGATCGTGTTCAAATCTTCATGATTTGTGTAGAGTTCGTTTATATATACTCTTGTTACTGTACCACTTTAAACAGAGGTAATATTTTATGTGAATGTTATTATGTAAAATTTTAAATTATCTTAAAACATGAACTGAAATACATACTTGTAAAAAGTGGTCTTTGTATGTACTGTTATGTACTAAATATTTAAGTATAGAGTTATTAAAATACAGTCAAATAAAAATTACCTTATTTTTTTTTTGGCGTTTGTAGGTTTATGTGTTGTTTGTGAGCATTTTAATGCACCATTACTATAACATAGCAGCATAGCATGCTTTTCAATTACTTTTACTTGAAAATGTTGGTAAACAAAATTGGCAGCTTCAGAAAACTCATGTTTACAACCAACAATTCACAAAAAGCCTGCTAAAAGGGGAAAAATAAAATTATATTAAAGAATTGACACTGTCAACACACATGACTACAACCGAACAGGCAAAAAATAGGCTATATTCCACAACTTAAAACTTGATGACACTTTTGTTGTACTAACAAGTGATGCCAAATGTCCATAATCGTATTTTAAGGAATGATTTGATAAGCACGAATTCCTAAGGTTAGTAGTGCTTGTTTAAAAAGGAAATTTGACAAACTGAAATTAAATATGTCAATCTATAATTCAGTTTAGGGTTTAACTGACAAAGAATGCCGATGTTCATAAACATATAAATTACTTTCACTAAAAGCCACGCATACGTTGTGATGATAGATTGAAGCTTATACAGCTTAGCCAGCAAATTGCAGAGTTACATGTCAGGTTAAAAGCACAGCGTGGTTGAGTGAGATTGTCGTCTGTGATAATCCCAGATTATACCATCGGACATGACGTGCTGATGACGTCACTGAGAACAGGAGCATTAACAACAAAACAATTCATATACAAATTATTAGTCAAAATCATAATTACAATGATAATTAGTATCAATAAAAATGAAAATCCAATGAGGTAAATGTAAATACGTTTAGTCTGCAGATTTGCTGCGGCGGGGGTAGCCGAACGGATTTTTTTTATCTTATCTTATCCAATTCATGATATTTTTATTTTGTGTAAAATTTCCTAAAAGATCCACTACCAGATACCTAACACGTTATACTGAACTTCTATATATTCGGATCATTAAACTCCGGCACTGCAGGGTATTAATATATTATATTATTATATTATGTTAAAAGTTAGCTGTTAGATGAATGCCTAGTTGTCTACCATGATTACATTCAGTTAATATACTTATATTTGTTGTACTGAAATCTAATCTAAAATATATAAAAAATCCCGATCAAAATACGAAATCCAAGGCACTACGATATTTAAGTGTTAAATGTAATGAATACCGGTACATAATTGGTAAATTTCAAGATGTCAATTATCGTGAGGTTCAAGTTTTCTCAATCTTCAAAGTGCCTCTTTGATGTACAGTATTGTTACTAAACTTCCATTTCCAATGGCTCGCTTATATATTTGTACGTACGCGCATTGCAATAATTAACTTAATTGCCGATTTAAAAATTTATAAATGGTAAGAAATTTAGTGCAAACTTAATGCTACGTAATCGATGACTTTTGAAGTTAGTATACAGATTTTGCATCGATAGTGAAAAAAAATTTAAAATCGCGAGAACAAGCAAACTTCCTCGGACAAACTTGATTAAATATTATTTGAATCTCCCTTTACCAAAGTAGATTTTAATTTAAGATTCAAACAGTTGACATTTGAGCTATGGATCTGATGGAAAATCGAAATAACGAAAACTGTCTGCTCTTTAATTTGTGAATCGATCACCTAAGCGAGTTCAAAATTTGCCTACACCGTTGTTTAAATAGCTTAGGTAATTGTAACTATAGAGAATAATAGAGAGGTAATAACTGATATAGAGAATCCCGTCATAATACAAAAACAGGTTCAACAATATAATTTACAGACTCCCTTATACTTATGAATTATAATACTATCATATTTCATTCATATATTCATATTTCATCATCACATATACATACTTATGAATCAGCTAAAGATGGTTTTAACGTTATAATAATGTGGGTAATAATTCTTTTTTGTTCCACTTGGTTCATATGGATGCGGTGTGAAATAAGGTATAACATTTATTTTATTTTAGTAGTTCATTAATATTAAACATTATAAAAATCATCATTTACTGTCGAGCTAATCGAGTTATGTAAAACATACAGAATACAAATAAATGTATAATACACCGAATAGTACAAAATCCCTGCAATCAAATAATGTAGCTGACAGCTCAGCCATTAATCGGCGAAATCACATGGTAGGTTAAAAGCAGAGCGTTGTTGGGAGAGATTGGCGTCTGATAATCCAGCATTACCCTAAACATAGTACAAAGGTTGTTGTCATTGTCATCAATGAGTGGAGCGGAATAATGTGTTGCTAAATGAGCAATAACGCTTCCAAATAGAACTAAATGATTTTTAGATAACTATTGGTCACCACCTAGGCGTATTTTAACTCACACGTGGTGAGTGAGGTAGAGTTATCTTGTTGTGGCTTGGTTACTAGCCGTTTCTGTAGATAGGACCGTTTGATAAAATATAATGGTGCTGTACAGTTTGCTCCAGTTTTGAACGTTAAAGATATCTCAGGATCGAACCGAACTCTTAGATTGTAGAGTGACTTCTTCGGACATTTTGGTTGTAAAGTTAATTGTACGATGATACATATGTTAGAGAGTATGACAAACTATACAGTAATTACATACATTCCCTCATTTTAACCATGGTATCAATTGTGACCCTGTGATTCCAGCCTAACTTAAGCTTTATGTCCGCCTTTTTAGAAAAAAAATAGGTTCTTCAAGGGAGAAGAAAGTTCTCTGTATGTGAGAACCACTTCATTTAAAGCTATAGGAAGAAGATGACTAAAACTAAGGAACTAAATTTTAACAGTGCTAAAGCACATGTTCTGAGTTGAATGAGCCTACAGATCAAAACATTTCAATAAATAATTTAGTAGCATTTTGCCTAACAATGTAAAAGAAAACTAAAATATTCATATTTATAAAAGCCTCTTAAATTTATACTTGAATAATTCTATAGGTATTTTAAAGATATGTCTACTGCTCTCCTACAATAAAAGCTTACAAACACTTTTATTTACAAGAAGCTAAAATGTTCATTACTACAGGAAAACCCCAGATTAATCTGGAGATTTAAGAACAAAATTTACCATTACATGATTCATTTAATTATTGGTAAATATTTTGTTTATATGTAGTAGTATTTTATTATTAGTCCCAGGTTTTGTTGAGAGTATAAATAGAAAACAAAATATTTCACGTACCTTTGCAGAGGGCATGTCCTGAAAGTGACGTTTTTGTGTCGTTTTAGAGATTCTGAAACAAAAATACACAGTCCATTAACAAAACTAATTAAGAAATATTTTAGCTACCCTCATAAATTGTATGGACCGTGTCACTTTCTAACAGACACTATACTTATTTTGAAAATTTAAAAAGCTGAAAAGTAGTTAGTCAGCTGGTACCATGGCTAGGAATTATGTAAAGCCCCAGTGACCAAGGGTGATTTGAACCAATGAATACTTTGAACCGAGTTTCGAAAAATTCAAAGGCTACCAAATGTTGTCAGGATCGAACCGGCAACTTTCTAAACACAAGGCGAGTAATCTATTCACTCGGCTACTCAAGTAAGTTTGAATAAACAATTCAGTAGTTTCAAACATGGCACAAACGCCTCGTGTTAATAAAATTGCAGGGTTGCTGGGTAGTTATGTTTGCTTGGTAACCAAGAAGTCGTTAGTTCGATCCTGAGAAATGACTGTAGCTGTTACAAGGTACTTTAACTTAGCTCACCTTAGTCATCGGGATTTTAATAGACAGTCTTAGCAAAAAAAAAACCAAAAACAAACATGAAATCCTAGCTAGTAACAAAACTAAACTACACTAAGTAACCACATTCTTTATCCATGCTTGAGGTTTGCATCCAAGTTTGTGTCTCAGTGTAACTGATTGATTGATTGAAAACTTGTAAATAAACTGATTACACTTTGGCAATCACTCTGCACGTAGTCAGTGATCGATACCCCTGGAGTGACCGATCATGACTACATGATCAAGAAACTTAACTGGGTAACGGCTATCCTATGTATTTCTTATGGGAGTTAATTTTGGTTTTTATTTTCCGAGTTCGTTTGACTGTTCTACCCAACCGATTTTCATGATTGATATATCGAATTTAAAGTATACACAGATTTCACATCAAGCATCGACATATATTTATCTACAGTCCCACTCGGCTTATACATAAATGAAATTTGCTCCCTATGTATTTCTTATGGGAGTTAAATTTGGTTTTTTATTTTCCGAGTCCGCTTGGCTCTTATACCTGACTGATTTTCATGATTGACGTCTCAAACAAAAATCATAAAAACTTATCATTTCTCAAATATGATATATATTTCATCGCTGCGGAGCAGCATGGGTAGACAAATTCACTGGTTATAAAATAATATAGTGATGATCTGTAAAAAAACTATTTGTTCTGGTACCTCCTCAGGTAGCCTATCAGAAGAAAATCTGTGAGGTAAGCATAGGTTGATATGCACATCACATTAAAGGTCTTTTTTAGACGAATAAAATGCCGCAAACCCGACCTCAAACGGACAACCGAGTCAAAAACGGCAGCATTGCGAAAATTGATAAAATAGCAACAATAAAGCGAGGTAGGCTTTTAAACATTTAAAGAGATAACGAATGAATGAGGTGGTAATGAATGGTTATCTTATCGGTTTAAAGGTCCCTTATCGCCGAACGCCATTCATTCGCGACAGCGTCCTTGGGTATTTAAATTTATCTCTACTATGGAATGTCATTGATTTAATTTATTCTTTTTTTAAATCGTAACTTCGGAACGAAACATGCTATTAGAGTCGGGTTTTCGCCGTTATGTTCCGCCAAGTAAAATCTTCAAACTAAGATGTATTTTTGTATTATAAAATAGTTCTAAATATTTTAAAATGTCCAAAAAAAGATACTTATTTACCTAGTTATATCATTTTTATTATTATAACATTTTGGAAGTCGGCAGGCAGTTACAAAAAACTTCCATTAACAATCCGTTCATTATTTTAAGGAAAGTGTGAAATAGAAATATAAGTGGGATAGCGAATTCAAAATGTAAACTTTAACTTTCAAAGACACTTTAAAATGTTGTGTTCACCAATGGTTACGTTTTTAATGTTTACACCATTGCCATTTCATAAATTTTCATGTAAGGGAACGGTCGAAACTCTGATCTTGTTTCTACTGTGTCTAACCGTCGACCTTTTGTAATATGGCATTGTTGTTTGATTAATGACAAAAAAGCATCAAGGCACTGAGCCGATCCACTGGGAATCGGATCAGCATATGGAGTTGAGTACTACAGCCACTACGTCTACACAACCAATGTAGCCATATGCCATAAAAATATATTTTTCTAATTTTTGACGCTAAAAACACAAAATTTAACAATTTATTTCCAGACCATTTTGTAGAGCTTAAACAAAGAAATAATTTTGTATGATGAAGCGTTGTATGCCTAACGGTTACGGAGATAATTAAACAAACTTTTAATTTTAAATTTCCATGTTACTCTCATGGAAAATAAATAAACTGTTGTATTTTGCTTGTTTATGGATATATTTTAATCGAATTTGGCAATTTCTTTGTAGAAATTCAGCCAGGTAAATGGAAAATCGCTTAGTCTGCAGGTTTTCTGTGGCGGGGGTATTATTACATTTATCACTAGCAAAATTAATTGAAATATAAGTAATAAAATATACACATTACTTCACAGAGATTTAAATCCAAACGTCCGGTTCAGTTTTAATCAAATGAAATGTTCGCATAAAGGACCAAAAAGACGGAAGATACGGGGAAGGCCTAGGTAGGAAATGCAGAGACAGTAATTTACAAGTGACGTGTAGGGAGTTTCAAAAGGGTGGACAGGGGTAGCGAGGGGTAGCGAGGGGAGGTTATGTTCGCCGGGGGGGAAGGTATACCGTGGCTTTGTGTGACTTAGCGATAACACTATCACGTCAGATTCTTTTACATGTGTCTCCTGTTTTACAAATGTATCCTGTTCCACCTCTACGCTGCACGTCAGCTTTTGGGTTTTGTTCAGTCAGAAATGTTGTTTGATTATTTTCAAAGCAATACAAAGTATCTAGTCAATTTGTTTGGTTTCAACCAACTGTAAAAAACCATACCACGCTAAATCATTCCATTTTATGCTTTGAGATGAATAAAAACATACATAATATAAGAAATACTATGGGTACGTACAAGAGTAATTTAATATCCCTATGTTTTTAGTTTATCAATATGACTGCTCTAGCGACATATTTTATGATTATACACAAACTAATAAAAATTATCTATTAACACAATAAAATCGGATAAACCAACCTTTTTAGAGAGAAATTATTATAAACAAAGCAAACCTTAATGAACTTTTTATTTACTTGAGAAAATTCAAGGCTTAATGTATCTTACAAAGAACCGTTTAACTGTTTATTAACATAAGTGCAAAGGTAGAATTCTGAAAAAGGTTTCTTTGATTAAAACTGTTTGCATAAAGAGAAAGAACACCTCGGTTAACAGCGTCTGTAAGACTTCTTATATCTTTGAGGAAGGATTTCAAAAGTATTTTAACATCACCTGTGTAAATATTCAGAGCATTCTGTGAATTGGTGTACAGCTAAGTTACATTAAAAATTATTAAAGTCTTAAAGTAGTATAGGCTAAAGTGTAAACGATATCTAGTATACTATAAGGTATAAATAAATTAATTTAATTGATTATAATAATTGTGGCGTCGTCCTGCAATCCAGCTATTAGGAGGTCACGAATTGTGGATATTTATAGGCATGCACTGTGGATGTGATACTAACTGGTGTGGATTAACGCCCGCACTAGTGAGTTGAGTCACAGACAATATCGAATACTCACGGTGCTATCCTTATATAATTAGACCAATTAAATCACAAGTCAAAAATGTGGTTCGGATTCCACTATAAACTGTAGGTCCCTTAATTGCCATTGGCTGTATGGGCTATTATTAATTAACAGCTGTGTTCAAGAAATGTAGAGTGGAAATGAAAACCGGGCTAAGTGCCAAAAAATAAAAAAATGAGTTAAGTGTCAAAATGTGTGCTATCTGCCAAGCCCAATACGTTAAAAAGCGGGTTATCTGCAAACAATAGCTCCAAGACGTTTAAACAGTGGCCACTAGAATGCGCATGGGTCAACTTCATCAGCTGAGGAAATGAAAACCGGGCTATGTGCCAAGCGTCTTTACAACCCATTTTGAGGCTATGCAATGTTCCGGCAGTGTTGGTAGAGGTGTTCACGTGAGTTTATACTTAAAATGGGTGATACAGGGTTAGTAGAAGTTAATCCTAAGAAGAGACGTTCTAAAAAAACATTCAGTGCATTGGAGCCATGTAAAAAATAAAAGTTTTTAAAAGAAAATGTGCAGCTAGAGGCTCTGAAACACCTACCACAAGTCCTTGAATGCTATAAACAAAATGAAAAAAAGAGAAGAAATATGAACTTAAGAATATGATACCATTTCTGAAGGAAGAATATGTAAACACTTTTACAGAGAGTTAACTGTTAAATTTTTATACCTAAAACCAACACATTTGTCGTTTACCCTCTCATGTTTTTTACTGGTTTTATGATGTTTTATGATAATAAAACTTGATTTCAATATTATTTTGTTTAATTTATATTTTACCCGTCTGAAATGTTAAAATATTTAGAATCTTTTATGTTTACTAACTCTGCACATACCCCGTTTTATGGTTTTGAAGTATATGTACTTAGCTCGCTTTTCACCACTATGATTATGGACATACCCCTTGTCTCAAATGTGTAACTTTAAAAATTTATGAATTCTATTTGTGACTTTTAAAAAGAGTTGTTTCATAAAATTATGATTACTCATCTTTTGTTGTAGCTACTGTAAATAATCTGGTATAAAAAATTAACAGTAATGGTTTTATTGATATTTTTTGCAATAACTCAAAAAGATGTTTTTGGCACTTAACCCGGTTTTCATTTCCACTCTACAAATATGTCGGCCTTGACCTTTAGCTTTACTCAGTAACAAGACTACAAGATCAAGATCGCGCCACTCATCCTACACCCATCCTTCACTCATATTCGGGTTAAATACGCACCTAATGTCGTCCCCATCTTATATAATTGATAAATTGATAGTTAAATATGGAAATATAATAAAAGTATCTAGGTTTTTTTTTATCGGAATCGGAATGTCGAGTGAAAAGAGTTCTCAGTTTTGCTCAATCAGATCAAAATGGAACCTTCATAATATATTTATTAGCCAGTTAATACCTATATTGAATACACAAACTTGAATAGTTTCCCATCTTTAATATTAGAAAGATTACCTGAGTAATTTTAGAGTTAACCATAAAGTTGAATATAAAAACTAAATTGCCACTAACTGTTTTATAAGATGTTTAGAATCCTATTACAGTGGAAATAAACCGCAAACGGTGAAACAGTAAAAGACGTCATAAAGGGCACCAGAATCGATCATTGGGTCATAAAGTTGTTTGTGGTTTATGTCGTGAGCATTAACACTAAATTGCTCCCAGACTGGCGTTAATATGCCATATGATAGTGGTTAATAAACGAATGACGTCATGAACTTGTTTGCTATTTTATTAAATACAATGTAGGGTGTCGTGAAGGTCTATGGTCCTCTTTTATGGATCTAGAAACTAACACACTGTACTATATTGTAAACAGTGTCGAAAAGTGCTTAGGTATCTGGCTGAATGCGGTTTTCGTAAATTAAAAATCTTCACTTGAGCATAGGTTGATTTCTCGCCGCTTTAGCTGGGTACCAGTTTTATTCTGCTTGTTTCATGAAACAGTTGAATTTGCTGGTTATTGAGAATTCACATAATGTAACCTTTAACACTATGTACTGTAGTAATTTTGATACTACACGCATTTGTAAAATTGTAAAAGGGCCAAATTAACTAAGCGATTGCCCTTAGTGGTAACTGTCTTAAAACCCAATTCTATCGATGTTTGCTCACAGTCTCTATAACTCATTTTTAGGTAAATTGTGAAGTGAGAGGAAATCTTCATTGAATTAAATTAAGTCAATATAAAATCGTAGTACTATTTTCTACATTTATAATGTACTATGTTTGAGTGTAAGCTATGTATTCCTTTAATATAATCAGAATTCACGATGTCGCTGGTGATTGCAGGAGACGATTATGTGGTCTCAGAGACCGCGGAAGATGTCCAAGAGTTCTCCAAGACCACGTGAGACATTGATTATTGCAAGATAAGAACACTATGTCTCCGCATATAGAAGAAGCCCACGAAGGACGTCTGGGCCCAGTTTCGAACCATCAAAAAGCTACTGATATTTCTTAGGATTGAGCCTCGGTGAGGTGTTATTACGCGGCTTGTGGCGGCCATGTCATAAAATAATTAAGCTCCTCAACTGTACCTGAATCCTCACTTTGTGCTGCAGCTGCAACATTGCCAAATTATATAAGGAAGAAGCTATCCAACTCCAAACTCTCTCTACTCATAACGTTTGCTCCACTCATAACGTTTGCTCTACTCATAACTATCCAATCGTATCTATTAGGCTGTTCAAATGTGTATTTTTAATACTTTAAAATAAAAAACCCGTCAAAGAGTCATTGAAGGTCTCGTGGCATGAGCAATGAATGCAAACGAAAAAATATCACAGCTTTCAAAACTTCCTTCACAGACAATGGAGAGTATTATATTGTCTGTGCTTCCTTCTATTTAACTGAAAGCAGTCGTCTTAAGTATCCAAAGCTATAACTACCGTCCATCCTCAAGAAAGTGATATTGCAAGTGATTTTAAACATTAGCTATTACAATCTATACCATAGATTATGTCAGTGCTGCAGTTTGTTAGTGGTCTGTGAAGAGTGGAGACCACAGCCAAGGTTTCTGTTTCGTTTTACATTTATATTTTAGAGGTCTATGTCTATCTGTTATTGTTATGGTTTTGGTTAAGAAAATCAGAACTCAATTATTATGTCGTATTACTTGTGTTTCCTATTAATTAATTTTCTTAAATTGTATGTTGTGTAGTTTATCTAAAGAATTCAATATTACACTTGATTTCTTTCCGAACTTATTGCCCCACAAAATGTCTGATACCTTTAAATAATTTGTTCTGTGACTATGCCTAGATTTTATAGGTTAAATAATTCATTCATCCTTAAAAAATTGCATTTAGGATACCAAACTTTCAACAAAGGTGTTTATCCTTCTCTGCCATGCTAACTTCTTGATCAGAAACGTCAAGAAAAGTCTGGTAAGTTTTAGTGAATAAGCGTTCACCTTCAGGCCTACCTACTTAAACAGCTTTTAAGGCTTAGGCTGAACTTACTCCAATAGAGTGCAGCTAATGTCTATTTATTTTGTTTAAAATATAAACTCTGATAGGCCTATCAGTACATTTTAATGAAGGAAGATATTTGATGTAGCCTATAACTGAAATTTTAACACTGAGCTGCGGTTTAAAGATAGACTACCCACCTTATGTTAATTCAGTTAGGCCTAGCTGGTGATTTTCAAGCTTTTTACTATTATGGCTACCGCTACAAAACTTACTTGAGGCCTAATGTGTTTATTAATCTGATCTGCACTTTAGTTAACGTCCTACACTCATTCAAATGAAAAATATCGATAGGTATTAAGGTTGTTCTATATTTCGATTACTACCTATTTAATTCTGTTGGTTAGTTTAGGGTACCTACCTAACCAAACTTGATATAGGCCTATCGAATGAAATTATCTATATGTTAATCGATATATTTAACTTATTCGAATGAGTGTGACTTAAACTAAAGTGCAGCCTTATTCTGACCTAGGCTAAGTTAATTGTCGAAAGTCATTCTGTTTTCAGCGTTTTACATATGACATAAATTTATCAGTAAGGGCATATTGAGTAGCCTAAACTTAGTGGACTCAGAACCTAGGCTATTTGAATTCAATGCCATCTCCTTTTTAAAACACTAACTTACTTTAGGCATGTACGGTTTTGCCACCGGTATTAAACTGAGGCCAAACTTATAGGCCTATTTGGGTTTAAGTTATAGGCTATGTCGAGGTAAAATGTTGCTGGTTGGGTATAGTAGGGTACATGTTAAACTTAACAGGCTCACACTAAGAATTAGGCCTACTAGGCCTACCCAATTTTTAAAACCTCGACATGTACTACTGCTGTTATACATATGGTGATCCATAAAACTCCGACATTTGCCTCTGGTGAACAACCTGGTGTGGCCACTGGTTTTTGGGCAGTGCCGGATTTACCACTAGGCCGATTAGGCCGCGGCCTAGGGCCGCAAGCAAAAGGGGGCAGAGGATTGAGAACAACATTTTTATAGATAACAAATTATTCATTTTAAACCACTAGATTGCTGCGATCACAGGTGACCATAATGATGTCCCAGCGGACCGAGGGAGATGTTCTCACAATTTCACCGCGGTCGCAAGTGTAGATGATGATGATGTACCCGTGATTGCGGGCCGCGGGGGACGTTTGCGATTTAGCCTCGGCTGCGGGTGACGGTGATGTATCCTCATGATTGCGGCCCGCAGGAGACGTTCGCGATGTAGCCGCGGCCGTGGGTGACGGTGATCTATGCTCATGATTGCGGCCCGTGGGAGACGTTCGCGATTTAGCTGGGGACGGGGGTGACGGTGATGTATCCTCATGATTGCGGCCCGCGGGAGACGTTCGCGAAATTTAGCCGCAGCCGCGGGTGACGGTGATGTATCCTCATGATTGCGGCCCGCGGAAGACGTTCACGATTTAGATGTGGCCGCGGGTGACGGTGATGTATCCATATAAACGAATCCCGTGGGAGACGTTAAAGAATTAGCCGCTGTAACGAGTAGGGTATTGATGATGATGTCCCCATGATTGCGGCTCAAGGGAGATGTTAACGATTTCGCCACGGCTAAAGTTGTCCTCATGATCGCAGTCCACGGCAGATGTTTTTAACAAGACTTTGTCGCGATCGCAAGTGTCGATTATGATGTCCCCGTGGTTGCAGCTCAGGGTAGATGTTAACGATTTCGCCGCGGCTAAAGGTGTCAATGAGGATGTCCCTGTGATGGCTTCCCGAGGGGGATGTTTATGATTTCGGCACGGCCGCAGGAGACGATGATGATGATGATCACAGTCCATCGGAGATGTTTTTAACACGACTTTGCTGCGATCGCAAGTGTCGATTTTGATGTCCCCGTGATTGCTGCTTTGCGGAAGATGTTACCGGTAACGATTCTGGCATGGTCGCGAGTGTCGATGATGATGTCCATGTGATTGCGGCCCGCGGGAGATGTTCACTATTTTACTGGTTATGATGTCCTCAAGGTCACAGCTCATGGGATATGATCAAGATTACGCCGTGGTCGCGAGTGTCGAGGATGATGTCCCTTTGTTGCAGCCCGCGGGGGAAGATTTAAAACAAACTAAAAATGTATTCAATTCAAATAATAATCAGGTTTATATTACTGTTAAAACACTAATTACTGGTAACCAAACATTTTGGCCTTGTGCATCATCGTTGTGTCTGATCTGAAGTAGTGTCTGACAGGCTATTTTTATAGCTGGCTCAATCAAGAACTAGTCGTCTGCCAGGTTAAAGTCCGTAGTAAGTTAGATGCTACTCAAGCAGCAGACATTAGAACTTTGTGATGTGTTTTACTTAGTACTGGGCGTGGCCACGGGTGGCAGGGTGGCACACATTGACCAGTGGTTATTTCGAGACAATGACAAAACAGTTTTATCATCATAATGCATTCGGTTATTCATATCTTATATTGTAACTAAAACTGTAGACCTAGGTACATTGGTTGTAACTTACAACATATTAGTTTTTTTTTGTTGGTTAGTTGGTTATTTATACACCGTATTGAAGTTAGGCTATATTCTTATTAACGTACCAACGTTCTTTCGTTCCTTTGGGATGTCTGTGGTAGGTATTTAGTACGCATAGGCTATTTATTTTTTACCGAAAATTCAATCAATCAGGTGGCAAGCGTCAAAGTGAACGTGTTACCGTAATTATGATTATTTGTGCAAATAAAACTGCATCCAAAAGCTCATAGGCTTGAAGTAGGTATGTTGTGCATCCTAGGTTGCCTTGAAAGATTTTTTTTGTCAAATGGCCTTTTTTAGATTAAGCTATTATCATATCCACTGATTTTTGTCCCTCTTGCACCTTAGTCTGAAATGCTAACCCGAAAGTTAGGCTAGCAACACAAGAGACCAAACAGTGTCCTTTGAATACGAGGTTTTTTGTAATAGGCCATTTGTGTCTATACCTAGCTTTTTTGTTTGCGTGTAAGCCCCAATAAGGCTTGTCTCTTACTTAGCATCATTAGCCTATTTATTTGTGAACAGTAGCCTATGGGAGCTGTGCAGCCACTTGCAGCTCTGTAAACTGGCGTTTACACTTTGCAGTGTGTCTGACACATGCGGTACGTGTGATAAGGTAAGTGATATGTTTTTTTGACTGCAAGAATCACATTGGCTGCAGAAATCCATTGCCAGATGACTGAAATTTATGGCCCTAATGCAATGATAGAGGTTAGGGTGTAGAAATGGGTTAGCCTAAGGAGTTAAAAAATAGCCGTGAAAATGTCCATTTTAGAAGGAATTGTGTCTGGTAGAGCCAGACTTCTCAACAAAGATCAGAATGAAAAAAAATTTTTTTTACAGACATTTTTACATTCCCTAATTTATTTCCTCACGTTACCTTTTGTATTCAGGGCCATAATGTCATCTGGTGATGAACAGCATTCAATGTGACTCTTGTTGTCAAAAACGTATCACTGTCCATATCTCGCATGCGAAGGGAGATCCAATAATTACAACAAATCTGTTTAAACCTACAGCGAAGCGTAAATGTCAGCTACAGAGCTGCAAATGGTGTAATTCTGTTCACTAATGATGCCAGTAAGCAGCCTTATCCTACCAACTATGAATCATACAGATATTTAGCAGTGCTTTATAAGTATGCTTAAATAGTTTATGAAAATGTATGGGGTTCAGTCATAAAATAGGCTAGTTTAAAATTACACAACATCGCACCAAAAAATAGGCGGTCCGCCCCAGGCCCCACACCAACATAGGTCCCCAAATCAGGGCCGTATTCCCCTAACTTCGAACACGGCCATTGCCGAGGGCCTCTTGGCCTAGGAAGGGGCCTTACTTGGGTCTCAAAAATTGGAAAATAAATTTTGCTGTTGAACAAAATCATCTGTTCTCACAATCACCGGAAGCGTCTGCAAAGATTGCGCGATCAAAAATCACGACTCCCAGCAATCGCGGTAATAAATTAATCTAATAAGGTCTTACAACCGCAAAAGATGTTCTGTGTTCACGATTTAGCCGCGATTGCGGGGGACGATAATGTTGTCCAAGCGTTCTCTGGAGATGTTAACGATGTAGGCATGTAGAATATATCCCTGCGTCTGCAAAAGATGTTCATTATTCCACCGTAAACATAGGACACGTTTACGATTGCTCCGCGGTCTCGGAGATAACCCGCGCGACCGCGGGAGACTGAGATTACAACCCCACAAACACGGACGCTCACGATTTCGTCTTCACCGAGGATAATATCGTTCTTTTTTGCCGCGATCACAGAAGTCGTTTGGACCAATTATAGTAAAATATAATGTATAATATAAAGATAGGCTAATATAATTATATAATGTATTTTATACAAAAATAGTAGGCCTATCTCCTAAATAAAAAAAATTGAAAGAAGTGTCAGAAAAAACCTGATTTGTATTACTTCTTGGAGTGCTCGTGCTTATTTCAAATCTCCAACTCATCAAAACTTAAAATGTTAAAAACTTAAAGGAAAACGTAATTAAGCATCATTCAATTTTTCTCAAATACAAAAATAGATTACATTAAAAATATAGTTAAAGTAAGCTCATTTAATCAGTGATACAAAATACATTAAAAGCGTATAGGCCTAACTTATTTCTTTTTAGTTCTAATCACTGTTTAGGGTTACTTTTTTAATAAACACCATGGTAAAGATAAAATGATATTAAACAAGGTAGGCCTACTATGGTATTTATTATTTCACTTGTATATATATACAGTATATGTATGTAAAAAAGGCCCTCTCATCTAAGCCGCCCCAGGCCCCCAACTATGACAGTACGCCACTGAGAGAGCCTGGATAAATTGATATACTAAAAAGAAAACTCAATTAACACCGTGCTGCATTTCTTAGTAATCGTTGAAAAAGCCGATTTGCAAACTATGGTAACTTAACATAGGAAAGTCATAGAATACCACCAAGGAGAAGAAATAGAAATCATGTTTTTTTTAGAATTTATAATCGTTATTATGGGTAACCTAATGCGGCTTTGAGTAAGGCTATTTGTAGAAAACACTAAAAACAAGATCAGCTTTTGAAAAATTATAAGATATTTACTTGAGTACCGTACCTATTTTCATAATATTTGAGTCGAATCTTTTAAAGTCATCAGAAATTATGGCTGTTATTCATTTTAAAAGAACGCCTGTAATACTTAGCAATTGCTGGAATTCGAGCAACAGGGACACTAGTTTTTCTTAAAAACTCAAACTATATATACATCACATTTATAGAACTTTAGTGAAGAGTTAAAAAGGACCAGGCCTATCTCTGTATTTCTGTATCTTGGACTTATAACCATGATTTTATTTGATTGATTCCATATTACCATCAATACAAATTTTGATTGTTGCTTGAAACACAATTTACATAGGACATGGGCGTCCTATTTGCTGCACGTAAATTGTTTGATCCAATGCATTAGGAATCTTTGCAAATTAATGAATTGGCTTAAATTGTCTCTCCATATGCGAAGCTTTGCATAATTTAGAGTATCTATCCCTATTTTTTTTATATTCTAAAGGATGGCTAAGCTTACGTAGAGGTACAAAACAATTTTTGCTGTCAAGATGTTATTTTGGCTGATAAATCATATTTTAACTTAATTTTTGTCAAAGGTCTTTGCTGGCTCAATATCAACTTTATCCGGTGAACCAATTATGTATTTTACTAATCCTACTGATGAATTTTCCATAACTCACACCCCAATTTAAAACTGATATTTCACAAATAATTATTCTTGTACATTTATCTTTATGTTTACATATGAGAATAAGGTTAAACGGTAGTAGGCCTATAGTTTTTTTTTTGCAGGTCCGTCCATCGGAGACTAATACTATGCCTCCTAAGAAAACATCCAACAACAATTCTTCAGCGGCAGTAAAGAAAACAAAAAGAAATGTTAAACCCAGTAAGAGGCAACCTAAGAAAAACCTAACCAAAAGGTAAAACCAACAACTAACCAGCTTAAATTTACTTTCTACTTTTCTGCCTATCACCATATTACAATCGTCCTAATGCAAATTTAAAGTAGACAATTTGTAAACTAGGTAGGCCTACTATAAGTTGTTAGTACTGGTAGTATGACGGATTACAAATCTATGGTACATCAATGTCATTGGTTCTTGTCTTGTTGCTGTTACAAACATACAGTTATACAGTACAGTTCATTCTGTAACCGTACCAGTTCATTCTTTGCTTTGCTCGATACATATCATGCATAGGCCCAAGGAGTATGTGAATGTAAGGTCCCTAACGTCTAAATAAAAATATAGACAGACCTATTTTAAAAAGGGTATTTTTTAGTGTCCGTGCCAGTGTCATTTTAAGTTAAAGAAATATTACAAAAGCTTTAACTGAATCAAATCTGACCCTCTGTCATATCGAAGTCTTGTTAAATTATTCAATGAAAGTGTAACATTGTACCATTGACTATGGGATATTGAAGTTGTATTAATAGTCAAAGATTCTACTCGAGTTAAAAATATAAATCGTAAATTTAATATTTTAGAGAGTTTCTCTCTAAACTTTTTTTTTTAATTCCAAAAGCTATAGGCTATATTTAGAATATTAGACAATAGACAATAGACAAAATCTTTATTGAAATATTCTACTTATTGTTAAAAAGAAACTGTTTTTTTGGATTGTGCGCTTATTAATATCCGAATTCTAATCAAAATGTAACTCAAGATGTAACTATAATAATCATTTTGTGATTTTTATAAGAAAGGAAATTGTCCACTGGTATTGTCAACCACAGCCTATATCTTGTAGGATTGCATTAATTTGAAACATATTTATTTTTATTTTCAGGTCCCCTAAGTCAACATCACTATTGAAATTTGTGAATAATCCAACAGTAACTTCTACTTTAAAAGGTAATTTCAAAATAATTTCTACTATAATTGTCTACAACTGTTAACAACTACAAATTTGATGCTGAAACACAAGAAAACATGCAATGCAAACAAAATTACACAACTTGTTTTATAGCCAACTTGCCCAAACAGCTATAAATTAATATTCAAATTAGAATAATCTATGCAGTAACAACGCCCTTGGTTTAAAAAAAAATTATCTAGCTTCCCCTTTTATAAGCTTTTTAAAACACAGGTTTATGTTTTGAAGATAGTATACTTTAGTCACACAATAAAACTATTACCGTACAGCTCTCAACATTTTTGTTTGCTATATTATAAGGAAAGAAAAGTGTTAAGCTAATATTTTTAAATGTATGATTTTAAAAATAAAATATGTAGCCTAAATGTGACAGCTATAAAATGCTTTCCATTGAGAGAATATGATAAAGTTGTTGGTGTTCGTACTTTCCTTAGGTCTGTCTGTAGACAGTAATTATTTTGCCTTTGTGTTTGTCGATGAAATAATTTAATCCTGTTATCAGGCCAAGCTAGGTAATGTCGCCTAAGGGGAATTTGACTAAACATTTCCATCACACGATTGTGTTGAAAAACCTAATTAATTGAATATTCATCAATTTGATGGACTGCTATTAGTAATTGCTATGCCAACTGCTAGTCAAATTCAATTAGGCCTACTTATATGGTTCCGCTTGAAGCCAGAGAACTTTGGCCAACCTAACTCACCTTTTTTCTGTCAATTCCAGCGCAATAGTAAAACTGAAATAATGTCAAAAAATTGGTACATTCATACAGCAAAGTGATACAAAATTTCTAAAAAAAGGCTTTACCTTCGTCAATCCATCTCAAATGATGTAACTTGGTTGGTTATGGCCGTTTCGACATTAAAATGTCATTGTCAAACAACAAAATCTCGGCGTCGTTGAATACAAAACACATAACACACACGATCAATACTAATTAAATTTACAAAAACTATCAGGCCTGTTGTACTAACTGCAATGATTGACATGTTCCCGTTCTGAGCAAGACGCCAACTGACGCCGAGATTTCGTTGTCTGACAATCTCATTGTTATGCCAAAACGGCCGTAACCAATGTAGTTACACCATTTGAGCTGGGTTGACAAAAGTAAAGCAGCCTATTTTTAGTTACGATATTGCTCAGGTGATAAAACATGGATTTTAATTCCAAAAGAGCCTAAAAAAAAACTCAGGCCATGTATCAAAAGTATACAAAGAACTGTTATAATTGACAGTGATGGGCCATATTCTTACCTAAAATGTACCTTATGTTAGCATAGGGTTGTTAGAGATAGGGATTCCGACCCTCATTAATGAACATATTTAGTTTTTACGATAGACTCCATTAGCTCTACCCCCCACTCTGGAATATGAGATGCTAACGTGTAGGGGTAATACACTACAGTATAAGAAATGAAGATTTTGTTTTTTGAATTTTCTACAACTGTATTTGACATACTTAATTTTTGAGTATCTTATATATTTTTTTAATTAATTTGTTGGTTTCAGATTCTAAACAGGAAGGAGAGGAATCATTCAATTTGAGTGCCTACCTTTGTGAATGCACTCTGCAGACTTCAGTGGCTTCAGAAATTATACCTGAGAATGAAATCCCCTCAAATGATGTAACATCACCAAAAAAATCACCAAAAAAGAATACTACAAGAAAAGAAAATATTACTAAGAAATCTAGGAAAGTTGTAAAGGAAAATAGTCATAGCAGTCAAAATGAAATATTTAGCCCTTCATTTCTCTGTGAAAGTATACTAGAAGATAATCCACCAGACATTTTCATAGGAAATGTTTCAAAAAATGCTTTACAGAAGACAAAACAAAGCAGTTGTGAAATTAAAGCTGACTTTAACAGCACTAGTCAGAAACTTCGTCCAAAATACCAACGTAAGAGAAAATTACCATGCAAAGATTCACCGATGGTTTTGGAACCTGGTCATTCAAGTGCTAATAGTTTAGCAAAAAGGTCAATAGAATCAAACTTAGACAACACTGGTGAAATGGGGCACAGTAGAAAGAGGTTAAAAATGAACAAGGAAAACAATATTAGCCAAGATTTTAGCCCTCTGTTGCTGTGTGAAAGTGTAATGGAAGTCAAAGAAGATCCTATTGTTATAGAATTTAATCACTCAGATAAAAGACCTTTCAAAACAAATTTACAAGACCAGAGACCTATACCAAAGCGTATAGATAACATTTCTTATGAATTGCCCAATATAGCTCAGGAATATAATTTGGAAAAACTCAAGAAAAATCATGTCCATGTTACATTAATTCCTAAACCTAATTCCACAATAGAAAACTGCCCCCAAGACATTTCTTCGGCAAAAGAGATCAAAATACAACAAAAAATGAATGTTAAACCCGGTGTAATAAGTAAGAAAGTCCATGAATCCATACCATCAAACTTGAATAGGGGCAAAGTAAAGTCTAGTCATCCCTCTCCAGTAATTTCAAAATCTCGCTCAACTGTTGACTGTATGAAAAGAAATGTGCAAATAAAAACATCACAAAGTAAAGTTACCAGGCAAAGAAAGACTAAGCTAAAATGTTCTGAACCGTGTTGTCAATCTCAGGATCATCAGTCAAAAAGCCCCAGTAAAAGCACCGCACATCACACACATCACTGTAGAGTCACTTCAACTCCTGAAAATCATGTTCCTGTCGAAAAGGTTTGTTCAAACCAAAAATTTGAAGTTGGTAGTTTGAAAAGTACAACAAATCCCCGAGGCAGTAAGATAAAAGCGAAACATAACGAAACAATGATTGCCACTACCCTTATAAGCCACAGTATCAGCACAGAACAATGTCATACACCATCGCCTTTATTAAATTCAAACAATTCTAAAAAAAGGCCTAGTAAAAAGGCATTGTCAAAATCCAGTAGTGTAAAAAGGAAGAAATCGCAAAAAAGGAAGACATCACAAAGTAAAGCAAAGAGCAAAGATAATCAAAGCAAAGACATTAAAGATGACACACTAGTCAGTCCTCAACAAAATCTCAGTTCCTTGAAACTGAACCATGTATCACAAATTTTCAAAGAAGCTTCAGACATTTTACCGTCTGTAACATTTGAAAATTCTAAAGCAATGGAAATCATTGATGATACAAGTTCATGTGATCAGAATAAATTTGAACCCTCTCTTGACTGTGATGATAATTATTTTGGTTGTGATGATCGTTCCTTTGATTCCGATCAAGAAACTGAATCAGAGATCAAAGAACAAACAGATCATAAGCAATCTCAACCCAATCTAAATTTTATTATTCAAAATGGAGACAATAATCACAATAAAGAAGGAGACAAAATTAGTTTTATTGATTGTGACTCAAATTTAACCCCTGTTAATGGTAACAAATCAGTATTTGTAGAAAATAAAGACATGATAGATGGAAGCACAGAAGAAGATCCGTTAATTTGTTCTTCAACAGAATCACAAAAGTTAGAACATTATGAGGAAGAAAGTCATCACTTAGATAATAAGATTTTAGAGAGCGACTCAATACAAAGTTCTACTAAAACCTTTTCACATGTTCATCCACATGAGATTCATTTCAATTTAGAGAGCAAGGATCAGAAAAACCAAAGGTTTCCAAAGGATGATCTACCAAAAAGAGTTAATGATACAGAAAAAGGAAATTATCCAAACGGCAACCTTCCATCATTTGATTTGAAAGGGCTTCAATCCCTAAAAAGATGTTCCTTAATAAGTCTTGAACTCAAATATGATTTTGAAATAATGCCCACATATTCTCAAGATGATTCAACTAAAACAGGTAATAATACAATTGAATCATGGAAAAGTAAACTTGAGACAAATATAGATGATATTATAATAATTGTGGAAAAACAGAAAGTAAATCCAGTATTAGTTGATGACCTTGCAGAAGAGAAAGATTCCTTGCAGTGTTTAGGACTGTCGTCTTCGATTTTTGACGTCAGTGAATCAGTTCATGAATCCAGTACAAATCAGTTTGAAAGAAAAGGGGATGATTTAATTGCACAAGTGGAAAAACCAAAAGAAAATGCCTCTAAAGTTCAAAGTTCAGAATGTTTTACTCAAATTATCAAGCCTGAACAAGAGGAAACAAGTTATCAATCAAAAGACTTCATCAAAGAAGAAACATGTGACCCGATAATGACTGGAGACCGGACATTGCAACCATTATCTCTCATCAACAGTAAGTAAAGACTTATGTCATTGTTAATCTGAAAAGTAGCAATATCCCTTGCTTTTAGCAAACATTTCAAATTCACATTAGTAATTACCTTCTCTATAAGCTTACAAATTGGAAAATAAAATCACAATTTCATTAATAGTTAAATGAAACCTCACATGTTTGACCAACAATGTATAATTTCTAAATCTTCTCAGCAGGTCCCATGTAAGTGGCGGACAAAATCTATAGTTTTTTAGTTTTAATTAGTAGGCAACAAGTTTTTAATAAAAAAAAATAATTAGCAGTCAAATCTACTAGGTGCATTGGTTATAAAAATATGATAACATTGAGTCAAATTTACCACTCGGCCGAGTAGGACGTGGTTAAGGGCTGTAAGCGAAAAAGGACTGCAAGGTTTTGTACAATAATTACAGATGACAAGGGTTTTGTACCGAGGTTGTCAATGGTGATGATGACATTCCCGTGATCATGGGAGATGTTTACCGCAGTCGCAGGTGACAATTATGATGTGCCTGTGACCCCTATTGATGTTTACAAATTTACCTCAATTACGAGTGTTTTAATGATGTCCTTGAGGTCATGGGAGATATTCATGATTTCGCCATCATCGCGTGGATGTTACACCAAGTTGGCAGGGGCCACAACTGTCCTAAATTCACCAACGTATTTATAAAATTAAATAAATAATAAATTAAATAAAAATAATAAAAAACTATTAAAAAATCTTGGAAATCCTTAAAAAAGTATGAAAGTAAACTAGCATGTACTCTAGCCTTATTAAATTTGTAATTAATAAAACTATATATTTTTAATTAGATAGCTGTATGGCGCAGATTAAATTGTTGAATACAGCAGTAAGGATTAATTAAGTTAATTAATTTAGTCTTAATATAATTGTTACAGATAAGGAATTAAAGGAAGAAGATAATTCTGAATCTCATCTGGTTTGGAAGCATCCTGACACAAACATTTACAGGTAAATTAGCTGATGTTATTCCAACTTATTTTGTATACTGTAGGCTACCTCTTTGGTTAACAAACATTTTAATTCTATTCACTACTGTTAAATCACAAAAATGTACTTTTTTAATCAAACATAATTACAGTACTTATCTATAGGAAATCTTTTTCGATTCAAATTGTCCAGCAGCCACTTTATTAAACAAAGTAGGCTGTATAACTAGCTGTTTTTATTTTGAAAATATAATCCTAAAGTTATTGTATTCACGGTCTACTGTTCCAATAAATATGGAACTTTCAATCCATATTTCCCACCCAAATGAATATTTCTTTAATATGTGAGGTGTTGTAGGGTATCAGAGATGGCCAATATAAAAAACGATAAGATACCCATTATTTTGTGCCCAATGCAATCAATTTTCAGTCTTAGTATGGATACGAAATTCCTCCATTTTTAATCTTAGAATGGATACAAAATCCCTCAATTTCAATCTTAGAATGGATACAAAATCCCTCCATTTTAGCGAATTTCCCTATAGGGAAGTAGCTATTACCGTAGGTCTCATGGTAAGACCTAAGCCCGGGACCGATTTACTTTTTCATTTTGATGTCCCCAGAGGCCAAAAACACAATTCGTTCAAATTTTTATATATCTATATATATATATATATATATATGTGTCCATCCGCACGATAACTTGAGTAATTTTTGTCCGATTTTGATAAAATTTGGTTTGAAGGTGTAAGGCGGGATAAACTTGAATGAGTTCGCGAACCAGCATGATCGGACTATGGGAACGGGGGTTTATGGGGGATTTTATGGGGTAAAAATAGGTTTTTCCCATTTTTGACCCTAAAAACACAAAATTTCACAATTTCTTTATAAACCATTTTGTAGAGCTTAAAAAAACAAATAATTTAGTATATTGAAGCGTTATTATGCGCCTAATTGTTACGGAGAAAATTCTAAAAAATTGTAATTTTAAAATTCCCATGTTATTCTTATGGAGAATAAGTCAACTATTGTACTTTGCTTGTTTATGAACATATTTTGATTGATTTTGGAAAATACTTTTATTTCTTACTAAACTTTTATCATTTTATAAAAAAAATCTTTTTTACCCTTTCTGTTGCAGCAAACCTAAGTACTTGTTAAACTAATTCTATTTAAATAGGAAATAAATGTGCTATTTAATGGAGGCATTTTAGTGTAAATCCAATAAGGTTAATGGAAATTCGCTTAGTCTGCAGGTTTGCTGCGGCGGGGGTATTTAATCTTGGAATAGATACAAAATCCCTCAATTTCAATCTTAGAATGGATACAAAATCCCCAACATTATTAGTTTTCAATTTTTGAATAAAACATCTTTTTAAAGAGGAGCATCAGTTTTGTAAGAATAAAATAAGTTAAATTTGAGCTAAACTGTGCTAACAATCAAGATCTCTTTATAAACATACTGTGGTTTGCTTCCAAAAACTTTACTTGCTCCAGTAATTTTATAGTTTTAGCCTAAAACTCTGTTTTAACTATTTACTAAACCATTGATTGTTTTACAGTACATACGGAGAGAGTCATACCCAGAAAGGATTGAAGGATACAAACGAGGTAAATAGCTATACTAATTATTTTTACATTGATTTTACATAATTTTTACAATTTTACAACATTTACATAATATTGTATAGTAACGTAATATTTACAAAATTTACATTACTTACAATTTTACAATTTTTACATAATTCTGTAAGAAATATCCTCATTCTAATGAGTAGGAAAAAATATTGAAAAGTGGGAAAAAATTGATCGGGAAAATGTGTTAAGGTTCACAAAATTTACACGAGATAAAAATTAAAATTAAAATCTTGTAATTTAGGATTTCAAAGGTCTGAGTGAGGTTTTTTTAATATAAATTATAAATTTGAGTTAAAATATTATCATATAACGATTTATTGTAGATATAAAACTTTTCTAAAAGGTAGGCGAGAAACTAAAACCATATCAAGGATGTGTAATAACATATTGTTTTATAGTTTAGTAATTGCCTTATAGGTTAAAGTAAATAATTGCATTTTTGGTTCAAGCAGTTGTGTTTAATTTACAGTTAAATAGTTTACATTATCTAGATAAATATTTTTTTATATTGGTCAACACTGAATGAAAAAAATAGGTTTGCAAGTTGAAATAAAAACAACTTTTCCATTAGGTACTCTTTGCAGAAAGAAGCTATTCTCTATGACATCTGATATCAAAGAAAATAATCGTTCCCATGCTGTAGAAAACAAGTTATCAACGCTCAGCAGATTTGTCCTTGCTCTTAATCAGTCCTGCCTGATACTCGCTATGCGTGCTTATATTTTCCCCCTTTATTTCTTTAACTAAAATCAGCTGTTTTTACTGCTTTTGTATGTGTTTTTAAGATGTGATGATGAAATAGTATATTACTTTACTAGTCCTGAAAATAAGTGTTTACCGGACGTGCGAGACGAAGTCGAGTACGGGATTACCATACGAGTCCGGCCATACTACTAAATCTGTACGAACCCTAATATATTTTTACCAACTAAGGGACTAAAAATAACTAGTCATAACCTCTAAGAGAGGTTATGTTTTTGTTTATAACCATTCATTGCCACCTAAATATAGTATAATCAGCTGATTGGTGTCCGGCAAAACTCATTACAGTACAGTAGTACGCAATGAAACCCCATTTGAATAAGCTGGCGGCAAACAGCTGTTTTCTGGACTAAATCCTTGCGTTGGAAGTTCATCAAAATAATGTAGTGTGGCGTAATAGCTATTTGTGTATCAAGAGCGCAAATTGTGCCATTTCCGCTTGAGAACTGTAGATGGCTGCACAAAACTTTCTTCAAGAGCGGCAATGACTGTGCTTGTAATACTAAAGATTTGTCCTAACACCATAATAACCTTATCATAACACACAGATTAACTTTCTAGTTGTATATAAAACGTCATATAGGTTATGTTTGCTTAGGTTATGTTATTTGCTTACCGGATGTTAGTGTTTTATAGAAATGCCAATTGTAAATTCAGTTGATTTAACGACCAGAAATAGTCATTCCTGCTTGCAAACGCAAGCGAGAATGATTAAAGCGGAAATGAGCAAATTAAAGGGGTGAAATGTGATCCGCTGTAGTGGTAGGAAAAGTATCTTGCATAACATTTACCAAAAGTGATTTTCTGGTAGTAATTGCTCCAATTATTCCTGTTCTCGGCTCCACCTTGTATGTGATACTCATTTTCACATGCTCGGCTTCGTCTCATACGTGAAACTCACTCTCACATGCTCGGCTTAGCTTTGCACATGAAATTTGGTGTTCCTGTGTTTAGCTATGACTCACACATGAAAATTGAGCGTGCACTGTAAAACGCTAGTTCAGTATTCCGTACTTGTAATGAAATATTCTATTTAGTCAAAGACAAGTTACAAATTTTATAGATGATACATGATACAATTGAAGATTATAAACTTAGTATATAATGCAGGGTTTTATTTTCAGATGCAATCACAAGAAACTCCTGTTCTAAAGGTTTTTCTTCCTCGCTTGGAAGATGAAGAATTTTACAAACATTGGAAGGAGGTAAGACATTTTGTAGACATTATTAACTGTAGCAAAAGTAAAACTATCTTGTGGGTTAATTAATGGAGTCCTATGCAGCTCCGTATCTACTCTCCATACAATGCAGTTTATTGGTTAGTTTCCGTTATTTATGAACATTGAGTTAAGTACGTGGAACCTTAAATTTAAAGATTATTCCATTTTGTAACAGGTAGCAGAAATAACTGATAGACTATATGCCTATATATTTTTTAAGTGATTAAATTGTCATTCTCAATTTTCTTTGCCAATTCATATTAAGCAAACTAGGAGGTTAGGAGGGATATTTTGTAACTACCAAGCAGTTTTATTTTAAAGGTATACTGTTTTCACTTTGGAAAGTATTTTTTTGTTTTTATCTATGTAGGCCTAACTAACCAAACAATAACGTTTTCTTGTACATACGTCACACTTTTGACTATGAATGTATTGCAAAATATGTCCAGTAGCAATGATAAAGAAGTTTCTAATTGTTAAAGTTCTAGCAGTAGATATTAAGCCATAAATATATTCTTTCCTGGTTTCCTGTATAATGCACCAACTCTATTCGTCCTTACTAAAAAAAAAAAAAACAACATATATGCCACGTTAAGAGTTCTTGGAGTCTAGATAAATAACTCTTCAGCGGCTGTTTAAAATTAAAATTGCTTTTATGGCAGGCAAATCCAATATTATGGCCATTAGCCTCCAATGACTCCCTTGGAAAACAGTAACAAAACCTTCTGACTTCTTAGTGCCCTAGATATTTAAATTACAATCACTTTGGTACCTATTTAAAAAATAGTTTGGGAAGATAAATAACAATGTAATTAACAATGTAAAAAGCTCATTCTACTGTTGCATTTAAATACAACACATTTACATTTACATTTAGTCAATGCAAATGTCTTTCTTAGCATCTTGAATCTGTGAATATAATTTAATATTGAAATAGTATTTTATCTTAGGCAGTTGATACTTGAATGGTTATTTTCAGACTGGTGTGATCACATTGCCGAAAGATTCTTTTTCAAAAGAAGCACTACTACCTCGGAATATTTTACTGGGAACCAGCAACAAAAATTACCAAAAAATAAGAAAGAGTTTTAAATGTCAAGTGTGTAAGATTTCCTTTAAAAATAAAGAAAGGTACTGGGAACACAGAGCTTCTAAATGCGACAGAGTACGAATATTTGGTTGTGAAAACTGCAATAGGAAATATATTCTCAAGAAAATGTTGGAAGAGCACAGAAAAAAATGCAACTCGGTAAAATACTACAGATGCCAAAGATGTCTGAAAGTGTTCAATAGTGAAGAGCGGCGAGACGAGCACACTGCCTCAATGTGTGACACTCAGAAAGTGTTTAAATGTGATGATTGTGGAAGAGGATTTATTTTCAAACGGTTATTTCTACTACATACAACTCCAGTTTGTACTAGTCTAAGACCTTACACGTGTTCAATTTGCCTTCAATCATTTGACAACCGTTCACAGTTGCAAGGTCATAAAATTAAAGAACACCAACAGGTTTCTCTAGTCTTGTGCGAGTTCTGCGGCAAGTTTTTGTCCCGAAAATGTTTCAGATCACACTTGCATATCCACACCAATGTCCCTGTCTACAGATGCAAATTGTGTGCCGGTACAAGAATCTTTTACTCCCAACAAGAGCGGCACCATCATTATGTAAATCTGCATCGTGACTTTGAGCCTTATGTTTGTGCAGATTGTGGTAAATCTTTTCTAACTCGCAATGGCCTCAAAAGGCACGTTCAAGGATTGGGAAACTTGTATAAATGTATTGTATGCGAGAGAGTTATGAGAAACCAATTTTGTTTCCGTGCTCATAGACGAAGCCATATAAAAAAAGAACCTATTGATGCTCATGAACAAGGCCATGTTAAAACAGAAGTAATCGATGAGAATGTAAAATTTCAGATCAAACTTGAGGTGCATGATGAAGAAGATGGCTCACAATGTAGTCTTGATAACAAACCTTTGAAATGCACGGAATGTGAAGAAATCTTTTTGAAAAGAATCTCATTTCTTCACCATATACAGAATGTACACCAAACAACAGTGATTGATATAAAAACTGAGGAGCATGAAGATTATGCAATAGGAATCCCAAAACTATTCAAATGTCACAAATGTACATCTTGTTTTTCACAAGAAATATACTTGAATTATCATTTAGAGAAATATCACAATGCACCTTTTGAGACAAAACCAACCATTGGTTTTCCTTACAAATGTGAAAAGTGTACTAAAAGCTTTAAAAACCGAGATATCCTCAATCGACACCGCAGAGGAGTACACAAGGCGGTGACATTTGTTAGAGAAATCGTCAAGACACCAACTCAAGATAAACCTCATGCTTGTAGAATATGTGGTACCTGTTTTAACAATAAAATGAACTTGAATCGTCACAGCAAACGAATGCACAAGGTGTCTCTGTCTGTGAAAGAAATTCATACTACTCCAACCCTAGAAAAGCCCTATCCATGCAATGATTGTGGAATTTATTTTGGCAGCAAGAAAAATCTTGGTAGACATAGAAGACGTGTGCACTTTAAAAAAGCTGGACAATCGTATTCAGATTCACTGTTTCCGTGTGCGTTTTGTCATGAAACATTCAAAACTAAAGATTTGTTTCAAGAGCATACCGTTGCACACTTGAAACATAGTTTTGAAGTTGAAACCGTTGCAACAGAAGTTAAAGAGGAAGTCAACTCTTCTCAAGTTGAAAGTATAAATTTAGAAAACAATATTAAATCTCCAATCCAAGAAAGATCTTACCCCTGTGAAATTTGTGGAAAACAATTTGAGAAGGAGAAAAACCTGAGAAGGCATCGTAGACGTACCCACCGATTGCCAGTGAATTATCCTGAGATTGTTCACCGTTGTTCCTCATGTAATGATAAGTTTAACACTAATGCTGAATTAGAGACGCACAATTGCAATCATATCCAAAATGGATTTTCATCAAGTACAATTGTTGATCAAGAAAACAACCCCTCAGATGGTACTCATGCAGAAAAAGATGATACAAGATTCTCAGATAGCCGATTTGACCACTCCGATGCCAGATTGCTAATTGTTGATAGCATCAAAGAGGAAGACGCAGTTAGCTCTAATCAAGTTAATGGAACCCCGATCGCCCTACCTCAGGTTAAAAACTTTTCAGTTACTAGTCATGATCCTAAACCCAAAAAAATCATTTGCAGGGAATGTGGTATGTCATTCAATACAACATTTAGTAGAAAACGACATGTTTGCATCCATAAGATCAACTCTCTGCAAAGCACAATAGGGCGAGATATCCACGCCTGTAAAGAATGTGGTGTAATCTTTTTTGAGCGATGGAGGTTGAATACACACATGCTTTCTCACAGTTCGCATTCCTTTAAATGTGATATTTGTAAAAAATATTTCGCCTCACAGGAAAAACTTAATTTTCATATGCCTGTACACGACAAGAAGACAACCAACAATCCTACTTTTAAATGTTCAACTTGTAAAAAGTTGTTTGCCTCGAGTGAGAAATTGGAGAACCACTCGATTCTCCATACAGACTTGAATCCTCACAAATGTACCAAATGTGATAGAAAGTTCATGAATGCGTACTCCCTAAAAAGACACACTCAGAGTGCACATGGGGATCGAGGATTTTCCTGTAATTACTGCAAAATGTCTTTTGTTTCTTTCTCATCAGTCAGTCAACACGCAATGTCCGTGCATAAGAAAAGTGTCTCACTTACCGAGTATGTCATGAACATTGACCAAGACTTTCAAGATAAAACTCCTCCCGAAGCTGACAACCTGACTTTGTATAATCTACAGGGTGAGAATATAACAGAAATCAACCTTCAACCTCACTTGTTTGAAAACTTGAACACCTTCTTGTCACTCACAAATTTTCTTGGTGATAATCCCCAACAGTCAGAGCAACCACCTGATTCACAACTAGAACTTGCTGACGACAATCAGGTAACTTTTTATAGGTCTGGAGTAACAGAAGGTGTACCACCGCTTGTGGTCTCAACAGAAATTGAGGATGGATTATTGGATAGATCACACGATTCTTAAAGTTATTATGTAAATTTTAGGTTAATTGACCAAATTATTGTATAAAGTGTACATTTTGTAATAGTTTTGAAGATTTTTGCAAAAAGTTAGTTATTCATTTTTATAAATATGTATATTTGATTATATTTTAAGGAACCATGAGTTAGTTGTGATGATCAATCATGTAATCATGTTAATTATTTAGAAGTCTATATACTGTAGATCAATGTTAATTTTACGATAATGATCTGTTGGTGTTAAATGTAAACAAGACATTTGCAGCTATTATTGGTTAGTATAAGGTTTATTAGCCTTGCTGTTTGGAGGTGGATAAACAACATCATACCCTTTATTTTTGTAGTAGGTTCTTGTAAATTCAATCTTTTTTTATGAGGTTAACTGCAGACAAACTTGGTAGAAAATTTTTAACACTTACATTTTAACATAAATATTTACTTCCAAAATTGGTCAGAATTCTGTTCTAAAAAATAAAACAAGCTTGTATGTATAATGTTCCATAGTCGTAAAACTTTTTGAATATACGTTACTCGATATATAATTGATAAAAATTTTTTAATATCACTTATCACGATTAACATTTTATCCTGTAGTTTTGTATTTTATAAAACCTTTAATGATACAAGGACTTTCAAGTAAGTAAAGAGCACGTAAGGAGTTAAAAATGATTTATTACTAATTCGAACAATATCTGGTAATCAGGTACTAACATCAATTTCAGATTAACTTAAGTTCTGTTGTATTAATATTAAGTTGTTTTACTTGTATATCTACACATGTATTTGTATTTTAATTACATATATGTATGAAATTATTTTATGCTTTGTGAATATGTCCATCACGCATTTTTGTCCTGTACTTAGATAGTTAAACATTAATTTTACAAAAAGCACTACTTCAGTCATACTTATTGCAGATATTTTTGTTACTACCTTTTTTTATTTAAAAACTAATATAATATTGCATACATTATTTATAAATAATAATTTGTTAATTTAAAGTTTAGCGTTTTTATGATTTTTTTACAGTTTTGTAAAGGCCTGTTTGAGAATTTTCTTATAAAGTAGGATTTATTTCAGAGATATTGCTATTCAATGTCTAATATTATCCTGGACAAGGTTTTAATATGATTTGTTATGGTAATATTCAGTTCATTTAAACAATTTCCACGTAATCATAAAATCATTTTGGTATCAAATATCAATATAAGTATTTCTCTTATTTTTAGTAGATAAAAAAGACAAGAACCTTCCATGTATTCTTATTGTACATTATAGTAACACGGGATTTGATATGTGCCTTAATGAATATGACAGTAATGTAAAAAGTGTTAATGTTATTTGGTTCTGTTACCGATTTATTTAAATTTTATACAGTGTTAGAAGGACATGTTGTTTTTAAAGGTGCTCTATTTTCTCAGCCGAGTTGTCTATATAATTGTTATTTCAATAAACTTATAGAAAAAAATGTAGTTGTTACATTAATATTCTGTGTACTATTCCTAGTCTCAAGAACAATTAATCATGTAGGTATACCTTGTGGTTTGCCAGGTTATTGAAGAGAGCTATGAAGCCCAATGTACATTTCTACACAAGTGTGGCATTATAGAGTGATATAAGTACAGTATATACATTTTTCTCCTGGTGATGACTACCAAAGTAGAGAAATATAAATTGAGCCTCCTGTCTCTCTTCGAGGATTTGGGAACCATAAGGTATACTACCGCTACATGATTTATTCCATTTCACAAACAAGTAGCTGTAATAAATATGTTGTAATTACAGATTTTGCCACTCAAAGGTTGAGGTTTAGATTATTTTAAATTTGTTTAGTTGAGAAATATAAATAAAACAGAATCTCACCTTTGCACTATAAGTTTTTCCAATTCTCAATAACAGGAACTATGTGGATCGTCATCTGAAACAAAATATTGCACTTTTATATTGTAAGGCGTAAGTAATACTTGGAAATGCTAAGTATTTATTTCATTCATTTGATCTTTTCCATATAAAAAGTAATATGAGACTTTGAATGTCCACCAATTCAAGTCAGGGAAGGTAATTTTTTGTTCCAAGAAAAATGACGCACGTTTGTCTGACAGCAGAACATTGGGTTTCTACCTGTGAAGTTATGTTTGTGGAGTTATTTTGTTGACGATATCTTTTTTATAAATCAGGTTTTCTTTATACAATTTTAGTAAAAAAAAAAACTGATTAAAACATTATGAAGGTTTTAAAATATTTTTAAAAATTCTATATTCTGGAATTTAATTAGGTCAATTAGCGAGGTATATTATTGATAATTGATCACATGAATTTTATGCAATGTGCTAGTGTGTTCAATTACAGGCTTGAGAATGATATAGCTTTAGCAACAATGGTATAAAAGTACTAACAAATCAAATTAAACTCAAAATATAAGTGAAAATTTCAAACTAGTGCCAATCCTAGAATGTGTTTTAAGTTTTTAGTTTTTGTGCAACAATCAAAAAACAATTGCCACTTAAATAACCTACGTTGAAAATAAATTTTTTCCTTGAATCTTTGCATACATTCAAACACATTGACTCTAACACCAAATGTAAACATAACAAATATTTTTTTTTAGAAACGTTGCTTGACTTTATGTATTAAAATCTTATTACTTATTTGGAACCACTTTCATTTAAACATTTTCCTAAATTAGAACTTTTTATGTATAAAAATATACTAAACAGCTCTCTTAAAAGTAAAAAAAATATAAAGGTACTTAAGTTTTGAAACTGAGCATTTTTATCAGTTAAAAAAATAAAATTAGTTATTAATATTTTGTTTGTAAAACAACTAACCCTAACAAACACTAACTAATTAACCAAGACTAAACTTTACTTAGCAAAATCATCATGAATTCAACAAGTGCGTTACTAAGAAATGATAATATACAGGGTGAGTTTCTACTTAGCGTGTTAACTTCGCCAGTAGGTTCTACTCACTAAAAGGAACAAAAAAGGTCCTATAAACCCATGTCCGGTTTTCAACCGTTTGGCTGTAATAGCGGATTTTGTGTTTTTCTTATTTTATTAGACTTTGCTCCACAATTTATGTAATAAAAACTTAACCCATTACTTTAGAGAGTTATAGTTAAAATCATTGTAAAGAATATTAAATTTGCTATAAATTAAAGGTTTCATTCAACAATTATACCATTACATAGTCCACGTTATATCCAAAATAAATTAAAAATGTCAATAAATTAATTAATTACGAAAATGTTCATGAGCCCACTTTGATACATAAACCTGCATTTATGCAATGTTGAAATGCATAAACAACTTGGTCATTTAATAATCTTTCAAATGATATGCTATTCAATACTATTATTGATATAAACCAGTGAGAAATTACTAATAAACTACAATAAAACACGGTTTACAGATTTTGTTTTTGCACAGTTTTACTGTTGATAATAATTACTGTATACTCCATGTTGTATTTTATTGAACAATCTGATAAGATTTGTACATTATTTTAACTTTTAAATATTTATTAAAATTATCTGAATTAATAAAATGTATAAACTCAAGGTTTTTCACATTTTCAAGGATTTAGTGTGTTTGATTCTTAAATGCTGTATAATTAGTTTTACCTTGTGCTTGATTAAGTCAGCTTTTATTGATTTGTCATCTATAGCTAGATAACTCAGCTGCTTAAACATACCTTGTTGAGTAATTTGCTGTTTTAACTTTATATTTCCAAGTCAATTAAGTGTTTTTCAACATTTATTAAACTATGGAGCCTTTTACCAATCAAGAGTATGCCAACATGATGAATACAGTAATTATTATTAACAGTAAAAACTGTGTCAAAACAAAATCTGTAGACCGTGTTTTATTGTAGTTTATTAGTAATTTCTCACTGGTTTATATCAATAATAGTATTGAATAGCATATCATTTGAAAGATTATTAAATGGCCAAGTTTTTTATGCATTTCAACATTGCATAGATGAAGGTTTATGTATCAAAGTGGGCTCATGAAAATTATCGTAATTAATTAATTTAATGACATTTTTACTTTATTTTGGATATAACGTGGACTATGTAATGGTATAATTCTTGAATGAAACCTTTGATTTATAGAAAATTTAATATTCTTTCCAATGATTTTAACTATAACTCTCTAAAGTAATTGGTTACGTTTTTATTACATAAATTGTGGAGCAAAGTCTAATAAAATAAGAAAAACACAAAATCCCCTATTACAGCCAAACGGTTGAAAATCGGACATGGGTTTATATGAACTTTTTTGTTCCTTTTAGTGAGTAGAACCTACTGGCGAAGTTAACACGGTCAGTAGAAACTCACCCTGTATAATAAACTCAGGAGAAGTGTATTTAATAAATATTTAGTGTTGTCCTCAGTATTTTGTCAGAAATGTTTATCCGCTGCACCTGAGACATTTTCCACAACCTCCCTCTTGTTGTACACTCGTTTTTCTCTCCCACCCCTTCTGCCACACGACACTTCCCCCTTAACTTGCATTCTTTCTCTTATGCTTTTTATTTCGCTAACAATGCATTATTTAGTGACTTTAATCTAGTATAAGAAATCTAAAATAATACTTTTCATTTATAAATTCAAATAGTAGAATTAGAAGGTAAAAACTAACTATAAAATTGTTTAGCTATAAAATATTAATTGAGTGAGTGATGTTTTTCTTTAGCCAGGCCAATCTTTATTTAAACCTTAATGACCAGGGTCAGATAACGGTATTGGCTCAAAATGCTAGCTTAACATTTGAACCCGCGACCTTTTGATTGTTAGGTGAGCACTGTAACCACTCAGATACCTATTTAATTCACAGGATACTCAATATTTAAATTAATTGTAGGAACAGTTGTTCATTTTATTATTAATCATCTTCAATAATACTGTAACCTAGATTGCATTTACAACATCGATTAACAACAATAGAAACAAAACCAGATAAACTAGAAAAGAACCACCACAATATAAAAAAGTCCTGTGCATAAATTACAAAAAAAATTACTAAAACTACTACAATTGAATTTAATAAATAATTTTTAGAAATAAATCAGCTACTAAAAAGTTTTGCGGTATGATTTAGAATTTCTCTTTGTTTTTGTCTCGTTTAATGTACGGATGGTAAATTCAGCAATCACTTTGTTAATGTAGCTACAATGTATGTATGTATGTTGACTGCTAATAATATTTGTGGTTAATTGCTTGTAATTTAAACCTTAGGTTTCAGTGTCGTGTGGAGGAAAATATTTTCAATCGAGGGAAACTAATTGCTCCATCAAAGTTTTACCTTTGGAAACATTAGGCAACTATTGTTATTAAATAAACCCGTCAAAAAACCAGTATTTGTTAAGATAAAAAGTGAACACCTTTTGCACCAAAATAAACAAAACATTCTAAACAATTCAGATAGTACCAATAAGTTCCAAATAAAACCGAGAATACACTGTCAATAATTATTTGACAAACGTAGTGTGAAATTGATAATTAAAATGTATGAAGGTAATGTGAATAGTGAATGTGTCTGTATGCGATTGAATTATTTTGAAATAATTGAATTGTTGATTCCCTATAGAGTCAATGTGACAAGAATTATTGTGTATCCAAGCCATATTGTTATCTTGTATTCATAGTGTCCCTGGGGTATTTAAATATGAATTGTGTTTGCAATTTCATACTTCACTCCAGAAACTGTTTTGTTGTTATTGCATTACCGTTGTTGTTGTTAACAATATTTATGTGATTGGAATGAGTACAGATTGTGTGTTGGGGTTCTGGGAAAAGACAAAAGTAGTTGAAAGTACAAAAATCAATAATTTAAAATTCATAACCACCCATAAATGAGGAAATACAGCTGAAAGTACAGATTTGGTTGATAAATTTGTCGTCTAAAGGTTTTGGAATTTGTCGTAGCTAGTTTACCAATATAACATGTATAATACAGTACTGCTAGGTGTATATTCGCGAGTAATGGTGAGTTAGGGTCTACAGTGTTTTAAAAATCGTTTAGGACATTTTCCATCACTGGATTTATTTATTTCCCATTATAATTGTAATGTGTGTACTGATCAATGATGGTCAATGGTTTATGTTATTGGTGTGTATTGGTAATACTGGTCAAATACCGGTTATTACCGTAATAATAAAGTTAATACCGTGCGAACCTACGGTAATAGCTACTTCCCTGTTGGGGAATGAATTAACTAAAAAATACAACATTTTCAAACTTAAAGTTAGACTATACTATTGGTAAAAAATCAAATGCAGGAATATTTGGTTTGGAGAAAAAAAGAGTAGTTAGTTAAGGGCGTGGTCAATCTGTCAATATAAATAGCATAATGTATGCTTTATCTGTCCTAAGTGCACTTACATTTCACTAAAACACGCTCTACTACCTTTCCTGTGGCAACAACCTTGGTACTAATCAAACATAATATTTTTTAAATAACATTTGCCATAAAGGAAATATATTATTGTAAAAATTCAATCTGAGAAATGAATATTCGCTTAGGTTTGCTGTAGCGGGGGTATTTCACAATTTAAGTAATATAGATCGATAATTTAATTTAATAGCCACATTTAAAAAAATAAAAATACAGGTACATTTTAATGATTTTTCCCTCAAATTACTTAAGACTTTCAAAATCGTATATTAAATTTTATAAATACGTTTTCTTCATTTTCGTTTTATTTGACCCTTTAAACCTATATCTAAACTTTTAGTAACTACTAACAGGACACCCTATATAATACAATAATCAACTATGTTCTATGTAGCGTATTCAAATGCTGGCTAGTATATGAACCAAAAACATCTTTCCTAGTCAGCTGATAAGCAAGTCTTCTACTCGCATGATGTGGTAGTTTCTTGTTGGTTCATTGTTGTGTTGTTGGTCGTTGAACGGTACGATGACACCATGTATTTTCGTGTAACTACTCAAAGTGTTAGTGAGTGTGTTTAAGTAGACATTCGCTTACGCTTAGAAGTTAGTGTCAAGTGACTATTCGGGGAAGCTGATTTTCCTGTGACGACATGCATATGCATATTTGTTCTGATGATTCATATAGGTACAGTAAACGTATTTTTAATCACTAATCACTTATGTTTATTCACCAAGCTTAATTTTTGCAGATACAAACAATGATTATGCAATACTCTGGTTGCTAATATCAGATAATGATGATATTCTAGTTTAGCATACATTGCGATTATCAAATAATAGTTCATTAGTTCGTAATATAGAGTACTTTAAGTGCATAATATTTTGAGTAGGCCTACTTTAAGGGTACCTATTATACTTGAATAACTGAAAAATATTTGAAACATAGGCCCTAGTATTGTTCTAAAATTTGCTCAAAATCACAACCACATATAAATCCCAAAGTACCCATGAACTTTTGAGAAAACTACAAGTCACACCCCCATAAACCATATACTTAAAATGTTCGTCATAGCGAGAAACTTTGCGCAAAACTATCCATTATTTCATAAATTGCCCTTTAAGGTCGTAATTCCTTTCTAAAGGGAACTTTCCATATAGCCTTATGTTAAAAATACCACAGCTGTACATATTTTCTTTGTTATTTTTTTCAATTTATTACCTTATTGAAATCAGGTGTGATTATCTGTTTGTATTACTGTATTCTGTTTTGTTTATTTCAGCTTAACTTAACGAATCAGTAGTTTTATTAATACTTATGAAGTCAAACGGGTAACGGTTAATTTTTAATGGTAATATAATTGTGTTTTAAAAGTTTTTTACTGCCGGTGCTAGTAGTCCTTTCTTGGCTATCGGTTTCGCCTCTCAAAAGGAGTCTTCATCCCCTACCGTACAAGTACAAGAATCACTCCGGAAGTAAAAGTTGTTTGAATCTCTTAGGCTACATTTACAACATGGCATTAACATTTTAACTAGGTTCACAACATTTAGGTTACAAAAATAACAATAAAATATGCATTAATTCGAAAACATGTTTGTACAAGAATGAAATATATTTCCAGAAGTAGGTCAGTAGAGTAAGGAATGAATGTCAGTTACAGCACTGTAAACACTTCTCCATCTTCGACATTCCACATAACAACGCGTCTATTAAAAGCGCCAGTCTCAGCCCTCAGCTGCTGGCTAATGTTAAACAACCATAAACAACACCTGTTTTGTGAGTTGAGTTAAGCGCAGTTTAAACATCCAACTGGCGTTCTCGGCTTGTTTGCTGCATCAGATTGAACGCAAATTAAATAACGTTGGGATTTTCCCGTTCCTTTTATCTTACTCCGTGTTGAAAATTCAGTAGTCAGTGTATACAGTTACGTTCATGTTTGTTGAGAGTGTAAAATATTTGTACAGAACTAGGCTTGTTAGTAAATTTATACTGTAGGCATTGATTTAGTTGGGAAATGTATATCAGAACTATTGTGAAAATCAATTACAACATTACTACTAATTAAAGAATACATGGTAGTTTTAAGGGATCGAAGGATGAATACTTTGATAAACAATCATTTCTATTGATCCACAGATTCAAGATATTCCCTTATTGAATTTACATTCTTAGGGATCAGTTGAAAACAATGAAGAAATTCGTTTTGCAGAAGATTTTATACTGTCTTTTGATCTTGATTTGTAAATTATTGTTTATCCTCTGCTAATTCAACCAAAGAGTGTCGTCAATAACCACAAAAATATCGGAAACTCTTTACTCAACATCAACACTCATATAAATAAGATAAAAAGACCTCAAAATATGTTTCATATATTAAAATAGGAATATAAGCCAACCGACGATATTAAAAGTGAATAATTTATTTCTTCCTTATCAATTTCATCATAGTGTTACATCAATTGGATTTGAGAAACATAAAATACAAACTGAACAATGTCTGGTTTTTAATTTGTTGCAATGGGGATCAATCTCTTTTTCAAAGCACCTGGATGAAGCATAAGTAAAAATATCAAACGGTTACTCACCTATTGTTGGAAATAGTAGTTATCGTTGTGTACAGCTTCAGCATGTTTTCTGTGATATTATCTAATGGCAATCGGAACATGTAAATTTTATTATAATAGTGTAGATTTCTGTATTGAGCGTGGTAAAATAAATGTACCTATCTGTTATCTTGACAAGTTAAGATGAGTTGTGAATTAAGTTTTTAAGCTTTATCAGTTTAAAACACAATTCCTGACTTAGGTTTATAGTTTGATTTATGGATAGCTTATGGTTGCATTTTGAGTAATGTGTAATTACATTTCAATATAATTTCAAAGGAAATCTATTTCAGGTGCACAGATAATTCAATAAAATGGTCCATTTTAAATAGTCAATTAGTGCGAATTGTATAATAATTATCCAATGAGCAAACAGTAACAAAACTCAATTCTACTAATTAATTACCATGGTCAATATTACACTATTGTATGCACGGTTTGTTTAGCCGTATGATTGTCCATGAGAAATGGGTAAAATAATTAAATTTTATAATTTTTGTGTAGTTAAGTAATAGTAGATTAAGTAAAGGTTAACGAATTCGTTTTTGCTTTGTAAATATACGAAGCACAGCTCTGTTTCAGAAGAGGTTTCAAAAATCAAAGAACTTTTAATGTAATTAATTTCCGATTCAACTATTCAATTACAAATAGCCCGTATCAAACTCTACAATTTAAAAGCAATTTAAAGTAATTTACTAAATATGCTTAGGCCTAAGTTTCAAAGAGAAAATTATTATTGTCCAATACTTTATTCGTGTTTGCTTTAAACATGTTTAAAGAAGACGAATCAACAAAATGTGTATATAACGACAGAATATGAACCCAGAACACCGGTAGTATCGTAATAATCCACGTTTTTAGCATTATTACCGACGGCACTACATAGTTTTATTCATTAGTGGCATTATCATAAAATTAATTTTTTGTGTGTTTTTACAAATGTTTAGTCCATGTCAAATAGGCTTGTTTTAATTAACTTAAAAATGTTTTTGTTTTGTTATGTAAGTAAATGTTAAATTGGTTAAAAAACCAATAATTTGCTTAAATGCTTATTATTAAAAATGGTGTTTATATTAGGATTAAACATTGTTGAACTGTTCCGGGAACTTTTAATACACTGAATAACAATAAAGAATAATTAATTGTGTGTTAGTATCAATTAATATTGTTTGTTTGTGGAGTGATTTTGTATTCCGTGAAGTGAATCTCCCCAAGGGCGATTGGGTATCAGTATAGGCTACATATTAGGAGATAGGAATTTTGTTTTCCTCGACCCCATATTTTCTTTTGCAAATCATATATCATTAATCCCAAGATTGTGTATGTTAGTGCTGCAGTGAATACAGCTGATGAATTATAAATGTTTTAGCTAGTAAAATAGTAATTTTTAAAAGAATCGGCAGTAGTTGAGGACGTCAACTGTCTATGTCTCTCACTTTGATAGCTTCGTCTGCTGATTTGATTAAGACAAATTAATCTGATTAATATTATTGCAACTTATTTACCAAAGTGTTTAGTTGCCTACACATAGGAATTCTTAGTGGCCGTGTTTGTTATAAATATTAATTCATAAGATCCTCATCTAATGTATTCGTATCTTTTCAAATGTTGTTTTCGTAAATGTTATGATTTTCTAAGGTGGAGCCGAGCAAACACGGAAAAATACAAGACTATACGCTATTAATAATACCCCCTGCTGCAGCAAACCAGTAGGCTAGACAAAGCGAATTTCAATTGGTCTGATCCGATTTTCAAACTGAATCATAAGCTTCAGAACCGTTTAAACTGTAACCATTGACTATTGGTTCAAAGCTCTAACAAAATAGAACCTGTATTCATCGTCTAACGTTTCCAAAACAAAACGCTGAGTAAGATCTGGAGGAAAACATGCAGCAAAGATGTTTATAACAGTTTACAACACAAAACAGAAACCTGCTTGTTTGGTCAGCTGTTTGTTCAACATGTGCCAAAACAACAGACTGTCGTTTACACCGTTAACACAGATGGAAGTGGCAGTTTACGTAATACTGTGTGTGTGTGAAAGAGTGCGTATGTATGAGTATTCGTGTGGACATTAAAAATCAATGAGTGAGGGTTTTTATTATCTTATTAGCTGTTGATAGATTTGGAGATCTCACCTTATGTTTGAAGTTGAAGTGTCAAGGATCAAAATGTAGTTGAATTTAGCCACCAAGGCAGTGTGCTAAAGTTGCTGATTTATGTTTAAAAGACACACTTTTTAAATAAATCTAACTGGTAAGATCGCCTATTGAAAACTAAAGCGTCTTTAATACCTCTCTCTTTTATCCGTAATTTGAGCACGGGCCCGCGTAACTAATATATGTTAAGGTGCTTTTTCAAATTATTATTGATCCTACTTACTATCAAAATGAATATCGTCATATCACATCGACTGTATTTTACGTTACCCATAGAGTTTGACTGATGCATGCACTACACGTGAGAATCACCATCCAAAATAAATAGGAGAGAGTTGAGGGGAGTCAAAGGGTGTTTTAGCCAGAATTAACCTGGGTCTGAGATTGAAAAGCTCAAAGACGTAGCCTGAAGAGATCATTCAAAGAGAAAACTCTTCAAACTCAAGATGGCCTCTTGGGAGAGGTAACATGTTATCAGATTGGTTTGTATATGAATATAGATACAAAGGAGAACAAATTATTATATATAAACAAATAGAGTCCAGTCTTTTTTAAGTTTACGAATAGGCCTGCCATTTTTTAAGATATTAGAATTTCGTTTTGTTACCCTTAAATATTTAAAGACAATCAGTACGGTTCTTCTCTCTTTAAAGACCCCCGAGAAATTCACAATAGTGTTGAACAAGTAAACTAAAAAAACAGTCAATGTGTTCCATAACAAATTTAATTTCATTGCTGCCATATTTGAAAATGACGGTCATTAAAACAGTATAATTCATACGTCATAAAAAATATTTCAAGTTCTGAGTTTAATGTCTTCTCTACATATAATAGGTAGTTTCTAGTCATACCAATGGTGGCACAGTTAAGTGGTGCAGTACTCGTACATCAATGTATTATAGTTTTTTCCACTGCGTTCAAATCGGTTACAATCAATCTGTAAACTTAAAAAATAGCTAAACAACGATTTGTTATTTTTTCATTGTGTAACTTGTTATTATTTTATGGGGAAATGATTATTGATACAAAACATCAATATATTATATTGTCAGAAAATAGATGAAACAGACATGACACACGAAATGCTGTAGGCTCAATTATTTAATTGAATCAATACTTGGTTTACCAAGGTAATGTTGCACAACCAATTAGATAATTGCCTCAAGCCAACAGACTACTGAGTCGAGCGATATCTGTGATTTATAACTACTGTATCTGAGTTTATAATGAATCACAAACTAATTTTAAATTGATTGATTATTTAACTGTGGCGCAGTTATTGAACAAATTGATTAATGAGGGTAAATGTTTGAAATGCTAGATTGATTTATAACTTATTGTAGTCTTCAAATGCAGATATTACCAATCCTGATTATACCTTTATTGTTTTTTAATCTTGATTATCTCATGTTGAGTTATAAATCGCATAGCTTTGAATATTTAAAGTCCACTTTATTAAACTTGTATTTTTAATAATACCCGTTGGTTTATTCCTGTGATTAGATTATTACACACACCGAGTACCTATTCCAGTAAACTCAATCATATAAAAATAAAAATAAATGAAAAAACCCCTTAATTTTAAAGAGTTGAGGTGTACAAGTTGTGTCAGGCGTAAAAAAACTTGTTTCTTTTTCCACTTTATTCTTTTTAGTTTCACTGCTCTGCAAACTGACTCTTTACAGCTATTGTATTTTGTAGCGTTATCCAGTTTGTATTGTAATCTTGTCATGTTCTAAGGTTTGTAGGAACCTGAGGATTAGATTTCACGATCAAAACGTTGCCAACCATGTGTTTTAATGTTCAGTGATATAAAAGTGATTATTTCAAAAACACAAATCCATCATAGACAACTAGCAACCTTGAGGTTATATACATAGATGCCTTGAACAACAAATAATATTCCTATTTTCTAGAATGTATCTATTTAATCTCACTTAAATGTGACTTCAAGTTTTAATAATGAATTTATTTTAAAATACTTATTTAATACTGTACTTACCGGTGTGGATATTTCTAAAGTGTTTTGTCGAGTCTTAACATCGACTGTGATATCTGAAAACGGAACACGTGTAAGTGATTGTAAGGGAATGAACACATCACAAATTTTACAACTTGCTAGTTGCTTATCTATGAAATTTAAAACGTATATATCGTGAAATGGTTTAGTCAAATATATATTTGGCTTAAAGGAGAATAATATCTTTTAACTTCAGAAAAACTGTAAAAACGTTATCAATCCGATCGACTTACATAAGCTGAATCGCTAGGTAACTAAAGTTGACATCGAGACCTTTCCTTTAGATGTTTGATAATATGATAGGCCTGAGAACAAGTAGATAGAGATATTGTTTCCCTTTAACGCCAGAATCTTCATAAAATAATTGTCGAACTATTCATCTTTTAATAATAGCCTACCTTAAAATCCTGATAACCTATTAAAATATACTTAAACCAGTTCATTTACTTAAGTTTTTCAAAGAGGTTGGGGTCATCTTTCAATCACGAAATTGGCCATCCACAAGGTGTAAAAGTCATGAACGCACGAACACACCAGACAAAGCAGGGGTGAGATGGTATGGCTCAAAAATGAACTGCACTGTTAAATTTTAAGTGGCATCGGGATTTGAACTCAACACACCAATGAACCATTATGAACCACCAACTATCAATTATTTTCATATCATACCGTTTATATATTTAAATCAGTACGAAGCAACCTGGTAAGGGGTTTTCAACTTATATTTTTCCAATCGGAAATACGTGTTAACGATACATACTGCTTTAGATGAATTAATAGACATAAAAAAAAATTAAATTAATCGTTGTTTACGATCCAATCTGATTGAATTATAATAAATAGTTAGGTTTTCTTTAGATTTTTTGAAAATAACTACTAATTTAATTTCAAAACACTATCTATTTATTAGTTTTTCAGTGTAATCATGGTTGGTTTTTTTTCGTTCAAATTAATTTTCCAACATAGAAAGTTATCATAAACTTCTATGATTGAACCCAAGATACGATCCAAGAAAATAAGTTTGGTGTTGGAAAAGAACTTTGGGAATCCCATTACTCTTCATAAAATATTATGAGGTCGAGGAGTCTGTTGTTTTCAACACTACTGGTACTCGTAACAATATCTTGTAGGATGTTATTTCCACAATTTATAAGTTACAGATATGGTGTGTATTTTTGTCTGTAGGTCACCCTTAAAATGTGTTCTTATACTTCCCAATGGAAACAAAACTTGGTTTTTGTGGTTCTGATACTATCTAACCTACGAGTTAACTCCTTAAGACCAGTTTTTTTTTTTTTTTTTTTTTTATGAATCGAAGGTTGTCCAAACTGGCTGGATAGCCAAGTTGTTATAGTGCTCAATCAAAAGGTTGCCGGTTCGATCCTGAGAAAAGTCAGTAGCTTTTTGATGTTTCGTAACTGGCCCCAGCTGTTCAGTTAAATAAATTATCCTGGTTTATGAACCAGATGGTCTTAGAAAGTAACAAAGTTACACAGATCATCTCACACCATTCTACACTCATCAAAAAGCGTTGTTATGCGCTTAATAGTTGAGGGAAAAAACTCTAAATTTAAAATGTTTATGTTAGTCCATATAAGTTAACTGTTGTACTTTGATGGTTTATGAACGTATTTTGATCAAATTTTGGAAAACTTATCGACTTTACCATTTACATTGTATTTAAAAAATACTCTTTCTTTCCCAGTAGCAACCAACCTAAGTAGGCTACTCTTTAAATTAGTGTTATTTAAATAGGAAATAAATATTGCATTCTTAAGGAGATAATTTAGTGTAAATACAATTAGACAAATGGAATTCGTTTAGTCTACATGTTTGCTGTGGCTGGGGTATTAATGCTCTATTAGGAAGCGTTATCATTAATTCGTAGAGCAGTATTACACCTAGCCAAGTGTTGATAGTTTCAAAGCCCTTGTACAATGTTTAGGGTAGTGCCGGATTATAGACGCCAATGCCTCTCAACTACGCTCTGATTCTAACCTACCATGTAATTCACCGATTAATGACCATGTTGTCCGAAACATTATTTAGTTGCAGAGTTGTTGTACTATTTGTAGTGGAGTCGCCATTTAATGTGATCATAAATGTTTTGCATCAATAGAAGAATCTTACGTATACATTACAAATAAATTATTTAAGTTGTAATGAGTGACATTACTGTTGATTATGACAAATTGCATTCCAAAGAATGACTAAACATATCTTTTTACCTCCGTCTGTCAAGAAATATAGCACGGACAATTCATTGTAAGTTCTTAGGAGTCATTATATTTAAAAACCATGAAGTTCTTAAATTTTCTGTGATTAAGTCCATACTCCATTCATATTTTGGTTTAATTAGCTACAAAATAACAAAAAATAAGGATAATTTACTTCCTTAAGAAAGTTGATGAGGTGAAATAATGATTAGGTATATAGTAAAACAATAAACTGCAAAATAATAAACTGCATTCAAAATTGCCTTAGAATTTAGCTAATTAATTAGCATTACCTTTCATGGTTTAAAAAAACATTAAAAGTGCTAAATTTTATATTAACTTGCATTCAATTAAATTAAGTTATTGGAAAAAGAAAACTTAGCAATGTAAGTTAACTCTGTGTTTTGTAAGCCCTGACCCACATGCATACAATTGTCTCAGTTAAGTTATTAAATCAATTAATTCAGTTTATAAGAAATCCATTTTAGAACTACTTTCATTCTGGCCAAACCATTAATTAGATCCCATTTTATAGGTTACAGTTTTGTAGTCTTTTAGTATTAGATTTGTCGAAATTTCCAAAAGATTATGTTGATTTTGTAATCACCTACATACAAATGTATAACATATGATTGAATGTATTTTGTAAATAAATTTATAATTACTGTAATTAATTATTTAATCATAAATCTAACCGTAGTATTTCCATTGTCGTAAGGAAACAATTGCGTTTATTGGAATTGAATGATAAATCGACCCTAAACAATTATCAAACCACTGATTGCATTAACTCTGTTATATTTAGTGCAGCAGTTGTGCATGTTGTCAGTGTTTGTACAAATCCTATAAACGCTTTTAACCACAAAAATCGATTAATTTGTTCAGCAAAGGTATCGCGATCTTAGAATAAACATGTTGTTCGTTTTGAAAGGAGTTACATAACCCACAGTAAGAGATTTTTCTAAGAACAACCTTGTTTACTTACTCAGACGTAAAGTTTCATTAAACGCATAAAAATATTGGTAGGAGCTAGAATTATGGAAACATATATGATAATGTCATAAAAATCTCTATAAAAAAATATTAATCGTGCAGGATTCGATATCCATGTTTATTACTGTATACCAACAACTACTTCAATAGATTCCTAAATTCCAGCAGCGAGAATTAGATAACACTTGAGCTGTATGTTTGTATAACCTGGGGAGATTTGCAATTAGTTGAACATTGCTCTATTGCACACTCAGGATACATCGGTATATGATAACGGTATTAATTTACTTTGGCTTATAACGTTTGTGCTTTTAAAATTATGAAAAGTAAGTAATTAACTATTTGGGGTATCAATGATATCTAACGCACGAATTAGTCATTAAGTATTTTAAAAAGTTATCACTATATACAGGGTGTCACTAAACACGCTCCCGACCTTTTCAGGTATCAATCCTGGAACAAGGGCTAGCTAAAATATCACGTTAACAATATCCAAAACTCATAAGTTACCTGTGCAGTGTGTAGCCACCATTTTAGTTTTTAACAGAATAATTTTCTATATCTTAATGATTTTTCTAGAGCATTAAAATTTGGTACACGGATTAATAACGCAAAGACCGATTAAAAAATAATTCCAATGTTTTGTTTTTAAAAAACGGCAAAAAAGTGTAAAACTACAGTAAATTATGTAATAGCTGATCCAACACAATACCTGTACGTATAAAGTTGCTAATTTGTGTTCACACTTACTACCTTCGGGTTTGCAAACTTATCTTACACTAATAATGTTGAAGTTTTTTACTACTGCAAAGTAAAACCCGTAGGTAAGTTTAATAAAAAGTGTTGAAAAGTGCCATCTTGAATGCTGTAACCATCGCAAATATGGCTGCTTTTTGAGTGGCCTTGAAAAACCTAATACAACACATTTTCTTGGTTCTTATACCTTAATAATTCTTACCTTTTTATAATAATATTTGTCTCATGATTATTTATATCATTTCTCATTCTTTTATTAATATTGAGAACATAAAAATCGAAAGGAAGAATTAAACAGACAATCCCGATGAATGCACTACATTGCAATATTCAAGGAAACCATTTGCTACTCTGAAAAGAAATTTAAATATGAAAAATTAAAAACTGAAAGAAGAGATAACTTAGATTATAAGTTCAGAGCTGACTTTCAACTAAATAGACTTTACTCAATTGTCCAATCTTACTATGTCCAATCAATGCTTTGCTCTAATATGTGCCCTAGTGGAAAGTATGCACTAGAAAAATATTAGCTTACTTTTGGCTTTAGGACTTACACAATTATATTTAAGTATTTAAAAGAAATATTTTTATTTTAACATAAATAATTTATAATCGAAATTTTTGACATATCCTTTAACGAATTTAAGTGCATATACCTTACAAAGTTATATCTCTAAATCTAATCGATTTATTCAAATTATTAAATTCTTTATTAATTAATTTATCGATCTCATTTTAATTAATAGATGCAATTAGATTTAAGCGTTGATGTGCCTTATGCAAAATCTCTTACACTTGACTTGTTTTCGTTAGTTTATATCTAATGACAAATATATTTCAACCAGATATTTTATAAGATAGCTGAGCTGGTATAGTTAATAGTGGGGAAATAATTAATAAAAAATAAATTAAATGATTAAAATATTAGTATGTATCTAAGAATTCATATTTAGCAATCAAAATTGTATTAGTAGGGAACATTTACACATATTTAATGGAGCTTCAAACTTTTAATTTTAAGCTTCTTCGCAAACTACTACATCCTATTCTGAATATGTACTATAGGAAAT